TCGCGCACGGCCTTTTTGTGGAAGGTTTTTGACGTGTTAGCTCCGTTCTTCAAAGGGCCTTACCGCCGGAGACGGAAATCCGTGAGGTAAGGTGAGGTGTGACATTTTTAGGGTCGACCTTTTCTAACCCCACCCCTCCTTGTGGGAAGGCAGCATCGCTGTCATGCTGGTTGTCCGAGGGAAACACCTCGGACAAGGTTAATTCACAACAAGTAAAAAATCACTTCCCCCTTTCAAACGCGCAAGTCGTTTTAATGGGAAGGAAATTAGCAATAAGATGTAACGGGATTTATAGATTATTCACAAACTGCAACAAACACATTAAACGTTTATTTCCTGAAAAGAGGGATATTTGTGCTCAGATCTGTAAAACGTTTAACCCGTCATTAGTCTGTTATTTAATAGTCAATCCCTCGAATTCAGAAAGCTCCATGACATACATCTATAAAACATCCTGTCCAAAATCGTTTTATTTCATACACATAGTTCCCTTTATCATTTTGAAAAGAGCAAGAACAAAGATTCTAGCAGAATAGCATGAATTCATTTTATTTCTTAGGTTCTCGTCAGCTGCTTACAACCTGTGATATTTAAAAATCATAATTACATAATGGGTTTAAATTGCTAACTGAATATTGTAAATATATACCTAATGTGAAAGAATATTCTACAACATTAATTGTGACAACAGTTCAAAAGTGGGTTAGAAACAATCGATTACATAATGAATAACATTGAAGGAATGTAGTGAGTAGAGTTCAGTTGAAAGATTATTAATTTGAAAGACGGTTGAAAAAATAAAATAGAGTCAATGATGTAATAAATGCAAAAGAGAAAAAAAAATAAAATGAAATTTTATGGTGTAGTGAAGGAATATTTGTCACCAGGGCAAGGAAAGATTAACAACCGTCTCCTTTTGAATACATAACTCAATCAAAGATCGACAAGCAACCCTTTCAGGTTACCGCCAACTGTATTTATAAATTTACGTGTACCTGCCAAAGCAGCTACATCGGCCGAACTGAAAGGAGAGCATATCTTAGATTCTTTGAACATGTTCCAAAAAGTCTTAGAACAAGGGAAAGGAAGACTCTGAACAGTGCAATCACCAAACATCTCCTTGATACAGGACATCAGGTAGATACCTTACAATCCTTTAGGGTGATTAGTAAGCAGCCAAACTCCAGTCTTCTGAAGTTTGCTGAAGCCATTGCCATCAGGCGTCAAAAACCTGACCTATGTATTCAAAAGGAGACGGTGGTTAATCTTTCCTTGCCCTGGTGACAAATATTCCTTCACTACACCATAAAATTTCATTTTATTTTTTTTCTCTTTTGCATTTATTACATCATTGACTCTATTTTATTTTTTCAACCGTCTTTCAAATTAATAATCTTTCAACTGAACTCTACTCACTACATTCCTTCAATGTTATTCATTATGTAATCGATTGTTTCTAACCCACTTTTGAACTGTTGTCACAATTAATGTTGTAGAATATTCTTTCACATTAGGTATATATTTACAATATTCAGTTAGCAATTTAAACCCATTATGTAATTATGATTTTTAAATATCACAGGTTGTAAGCAGCTGACGAGAACCTAAGAAATAAAATGAATTCATGCTATTCTGCTAGAATCTTTGTTCTTGCTCTTTTCAAAATCGTTTTACACTGGCAGCTAAAACTCATATGCTGTAAACTAACGTATAAATAAATGTCATCCTTATTCGCCTACACATGAGAAGTTCAGGATAAAAGCATCGTGTTTAGGAATGGAAAGATGACCATTCAAAAAATGTTTGGATGTAATATAAGGGATACAACATCAGTTGAATGAGGCTATACGGCTATCGTTGAATTCTACGGGGATAAATAAACCTATATAGTATCTAGGAAAGATGTATTTAAGGGGTAGTTATAAGCTAGTTTTATTTATTAAAACACATAAACATTGGTACAAGGAGGCACCAAATAGATATACGCCACACAAATCATTCGATTTGTGTGAGGTCTGGGATACTGCCCGGATGCCCAAATCGAAGCAGGTGGTTTTCTTAGGGGGCCACACCCGGAGCCTTTGACCTAAAGGTCTGACCCACAAGGCAGTGGAGCAACGTAAGGAGATGCAGTCCAATGGTAGCCGGTGACCAACGATAGATCTGTACACCATTTGCTCCTTCAGCATACTGGAGCCCACGTGGACCATTGGTTTGGAATCAGAGTTTTCCAACTCCCCTAGGTGGACTCTCCGTGTCCACCAACCCGTTTAAAGCGCCAGACATTCGCTTTTCGTCCTCTCAATTGCGTAAACAATAGCCCCTTTGCGAGGAGGACTACCTTGGCAGTGGCTGTATACACGTGGCCATGTGAGAGCATTTTGAGAGGGAGAGTGGACAGCCACCCCTCGGTCGTACCAGGGCATTGGGGGGGATCATAAGCTAATGAACTAATGAGTTTTCTCACATCGGAATGAAGATATGCGTATCATGTATTTCACTGATAATCAGGACCAAGATATACTAGAACTTTTAATATAATAGTTGTAAGCCCTAACCATTAAACTATAACGGTAAACCGAGTATCATTTGACCTGGAGATTATAACTATCTTTAACTTATGATATTGTCAGCTAGGAAAATTCATTTTGATGAGATTGAAGTAAAAGAAACTTTACATATGAGGTAAAGCTTTGTCATGTATTTATCTTAAACCTGTATATGGCATAAATAAAGCAAAATAAGTATTGTGTAGAAAAATTAGCTTCATTACCTTTGTTATCCTAGAAAGCAACAAATAAATTGTGTTAGGTGAGCCAAATCAATAAAAAAAATCACAAGTTAATGTGTAGATAAGGTTCATAGGCGCATCTTTGACTTAAGACTATTTTTAATGAAAAAGTTATATTAACAGAGTATTCATTAATAATGTTTTTTGACCATTGTGTTGCACAATGATTGACTTTGAATAAATAGAGGTTAAGTTTTTGAGATAGTTTACACCATTACTTCTTGATATGTTTTGTTATGCACAACTATTCAACTTCTTATGACAATTCATTAACAACCATATGAATGAATACATATCGAATTCAAACAAACAAAATAGTGAAACCAAAACCATTCTAATTGATCATTTAAGTAGACTGATTATAAACACAAACATTTGCTATAACTTTTATTTCATAAAATAGAAGGAAAATATTATGATCAGAAACCATAAACACACAACATTCATAGTAATTTCATTCAAATGAATACTAATTTAGTAGCATTAAAACAATGTACATAGCGGTACATTGAAACGTTTTGATTTCTTTATTTAAATCGTAATGAACCTCTCAGTTTGAAATTTGTGATTATACAACTTCTGACAGATGTCAGTATTTACTATTAGACTGAAAAGTAATATTCATTAATCTGATTAAAAAGAGAGAAACCCAAAAACAAGACCTACCTTTGACAATATTCATAAATAGAAAATATAAGTCATAGTTACATCTATTTTATATCTTAGTCTTAAGTTAAATTTTACTCTTAGCTCATCACTTCGTTATCCCATTTCTTTCTTTTGAAGGGATGAACTTAGAATGATTAAATTCTTAACACAGTTGAAATAAATTAGTGGTTACATAACGTATAAGTTAGTCAGTATTTTCTCTCATACTAAAACCATCAGTTGCAAAGGTATCTTTTTAATATTTTAGTCAAAGAATAATCGAGTAGAAACACATTTAATTCGATGTAAAAAAAAAAAGCAATATCATCGTTCTCAGGCATGATGTTAAGCTTGAAGTCAGTCAGTCATATGTAGCGTAGATCCTCTAGGCATAAATAGATTAATTTAAATTGCTAAACCCAATATCAGAACAGCTAGACGACTTTATCAAGACAAATATTAGGTTAGTAGAAGCAATTACAGTACCAATGATGGTAGGAAAAATTACGTATAGAAAAATATTCAAAAAGAAAGCATTAGCGGAACAAAATGTATGAGATAATTTTAAAACTCAGGATCTAAATGATGACAAAGAGTGAATGCATCCGAGCTACTGTAACGTATCATGAGCCATTTCGTTTAATAAGCCTCCAATATTTGATAAAAATAATCGAGCGAATCACAAATAGGTTGTCAGCAATTACTAACATGTCTTATTTCATAAGTTAATAATCACTTTATGAAGTGACTTCTTGGATTTAGTGTCTCTAGTTTTTTTCCAACCTGTCTCTATATCAGTTCGAATTCGAGGTTACTGAAGCGTATATAGACGATAGATATATTCCACAAGATTACCATTTAACGAAATATCTAATAAAGGAATAAATGAATTGTCATTACGGAAAGGAAGTTATGTAACTACCACTAGGTTTTAGAAAAAGACAAGAAACTAGAAGACATAAAGATCACCAACAAAATTATGAATATAATCAACGGTGTAGTGAAGGATTTGCAAACAAGTATTTTGGTAAACATCAACTATATTTCCAGAATATACATATATACAATAAAAGATGTGAATAAATAAATCTTAATCATATCAAAAATACAATGATAAAATTATACATCTAGATAACAATGAATGAAGTAACATAACGACAAGTAACATTTTTAAAAAAAATTGTTAGTAAGACATGTATAATATACACAATTCAATTTACTCATTATCTTCATCATCAGAACTAAAAACAATCCTTGTTCGAGCACGAGCACGAGTAGTACGTGTATTTTTTCACGGACAGGTAAAATTTTTCCAATTTCATTATCATTTTCTTCATCTTCATCACTTTCTTGGATTGCTGCTCGAGTAGTTGCAGTACGTCGTAAATTTTTTCGGGTAACTTCATTATTATTTACTGTAACATTTGAGCTGTGAGATGCACGATTATGACGTGAACGTTGTTTAGCCGTTTTAGCAGCGATTTCCGCTCTTCTAACTGCAGCCTCATCAGCAACTCCTTTTTCATGAAACTTGTTGAAAGATAGGGAGAAAGGCAGAAGGCACAAAGATCAAGGTTAAATAATGCAAGTTTAGAAATTATTGTTAGTATTATTAACTTATTTACCGTGTACAGATTTATGTACTTGGTTTCGAGTCACAATCTAAATACGAGGGGTAGTGATACTGTCAAACTGCTCAAACCGAAATAAGTAAGATAGGGTTCGGACCTGGGGCCTGATGGTTAAAGAATGAATGCAATAAACCGTTGAGCCATCCATTATTCCATAAGTTTAGAACAGTAAATATTTACACTGACAAAAAACATCTTAAATGGGAGAAAGTTACAGTAATTACTACTTACCTCTTTTACTTTAGTTTCAAATTCTTCTAGTCTAGCCATATTATCTGGTTTAATTAATTTCTTTACATTCAATATTATGGAATCAAATGCAGCGTAAACTTCTTGAACACATAATTTATCTGCAAATGCTGGTAAATTTTCATATAATACTCGCATCATTCGATCACTGAATGGCATTGCATTTAAACAGAAAGCCAAATCACGCCATTGTCGTTCTAAACTATAAAAAATAAAACAATATTTTCCTAATTATAGAAACGTTTATTCATTAGAAAGGATAATTTCTTTCAATAAAATGTGTTATTGCTTCTATATTTTACCGCCTATTAGTAACATCAATCAACTAATGAAGAAACATACCTTACTACTATTGCCTAACCCATGAGGATAAGGTAATACTGATTAATAAATATACAACTACCTCAATAATTTTTTTGTTGATGACTGGCAATAGTGTTAATGTACACAGCGACACAAACTACTTAAATAATACAGGAGTACAACCAAAATCCTTATTGAAAACTAGTCTGACACTAAAGAGTGTAAGCAGAAAAAGAAACCTATAAAATGTAATCGTACACTTAACAGTTTTCTCGAATACACTGGATTCTACACAAATTGAAGACAGTACAATTTCATATGAGAAATTTTAATTTACCTATTATTAAATTAAGTATTTTAGCCATTTTTTAAAAAAAAATAAGACTTTGATTTCGACATTCGTAGTCACTATGCATTAAATTCAACACTTCTTCAAACTAATATTCCCTTATGATATTTAATTTTATCATGGAGAACATTAATGTTGTTAGTATAGGGAATGTATGGAGACTAGTGACCTTCATAATTCACATCATGAACTGACCTCAAATTAACAACTGAAAACCAGGAGGTACTGCATAGGTGTTTTGCCTTGGTATAGACCTCCTTAGCAACGTGCATCCATGACTTCATTGGTCTAGCACCTAAGGGCTCACTGAAAAACCTGAAGTTGCTGGGTTTGACCCATAGTGGAGTCACGGATGGTTATTGCTGAATAGTCTCAAACTAGATCGGAACAGCTATTCAGTGACTTCTGCTTTTCATATGTTTTCTAAGGTCACTCCATGGTGTAAACTATAAACTAATGTTATTAGTGATGTACAAAAGGAAACTAAAGCAACATCAAAATACTAACTAAATAGCACAGAAAAACAATCAAATGTTGTACACCTGCTAACCTGTAAAACTATACGATTATTCGTCAAGCTTTGATAAGGATGTCATTAATTTTTTCATTCTACAGCATTGCAGAAAATTCTTTTTATTCACCCGCCACTACTCATAGTTACTTTCTAGAACTACGTAATTCGTAACTTAACTATACACAAGCAATGCTTCGGATACAAATGTGATTGAATGCCAACGACATATGAAAATTTATTTGTTAGGATAGTCGGAAAAATATACCAATAATTATCGTGTTAAGTCTATGGTGGCCTTGGACCTTAAATGTACATTTCTTATTGGTTGATGTTTATTTCACTTGTTAAATATTTTGTAAATGTTGTTTCCTATTTTATGGTACGATGTTTTTTGTTTGTTTGGTATATAAATAGAGTATGTCTGAAATACAACGATTCATAACTCAGAGGCTGTGACTTGTGTTCTTGACTCAACTGGCTAGGACGGACAGCGAAACAGGGCCAATCAGGGCACTAGGTCGTCCGTACGTGTTTTCCGTGTTACTGTGGTCGGTCGATAAATACGCTGCTTAGCATAACCTGCAGTCACTCACGTTACAACATTATTACTTTCATAGGTCGTGCTTCACAACCATAAATTGATACACAGCAAACTGTTACCCACTGAAGATAAATAGACATGCATTCACGTGGAGGCACAGATGATACACGTTGGCGAAAGTCAAACAAGCTTCATTGTATTTGTGCAAAGATCTTATCAATCACCGGTCAATTTATCGGCAGGGCTAATATGAGACTTCCAAGATCAATTACGTAGTCAACATATTCACTTATTTCACTACCGACAGTCAGCACTGTTAGCTATCCTATAAATTATTATGATTTTCTAATGAAGATAAAAACGTAGAACTAAATCAAACAGGAAAGTATCTTAGATAACTTACGTCGTTGTACGAAATCTGGCACATAGCTTTTCAACCAATGTTTCACACAAACGTTCTTTTACAATCAACGGAATAAGGAACCTTAAATGTATGCAGTAAAATAAAATAATCTACCCATTTAGACGTGATATGAAATTATACTCAAATATGTTAAGATAAACTCTTACTGATTACGGATATGATTACACTATATAACGACTGAAGTGTGATTTCAGTGTACAGACAGTCGTGTAGTTGAGTATGTATATGTCTTAGAAGTCTATGAAAATGCAATAATTTCCTAGAAAAAAACAGATCAAAATCAGTGAGAAAGATTCTTAAAACTGTTTTTTAGGAAGTTTTAAAATTAGTGAGTAAACTTCAGAATTTCCATCAAGAACTATGTACTTTACATTATAACACCATCGCCTAGAGATAGAATGAAACTTCAGTATTTACTTTCTCATTCGTTGGCAGCTTAGAAAGTTACTGGGAAAATCATGCATACTTCCGTATTGTATGTTTTGAGTTATTGTAGGCGGTTTCCAATTATATCGGGAAATTGAAATAGAGATAGTTGTGTTAATTAGACGATGAACCGATAGATCTTTAGGTGTGCTAAATTAGAAGTTAAGTACAAGCAAATGATTCTTACAGAATTATTTGGTTTAGTAAATATGGAAGGTGATGAATTAATTGTTTTTGCTGTATGAAGTGAAAATAAGCAAAAACTAACAACTGACGTATGCTATCATTCATAATTGGATAGGAATGTAGTACAAAATTGTAATTGGTGATTTAATTGTATTCTATGTACATCATTAAAGTATATTTCTGTTATGTCCCGATAAGCATAATGAATGGTAACTTTTGGGATTCATTTATGTACCAATACTATGCGTGTATTTTTATCGTATAATTGTTAAATAACTATACTATTCGTATTCATGTCTCTCTTATTCTGAGCTTTATTTTGACCTATGAACTACTATTATACGTTTCACCATTCTTGAATTATGCCCTGTTTATTAATTACTACCTCCCACATTCACAGCCCCATTTGGCTAATTCTTGTATAAATGTTGTTTCATATTTTATGGTATGGTGTAGTCTGTCTGGTTGGTATATAAACCCAGTATGCTTGAAATAAATGATTCATATTGCAGAGGCTGAGATTTGTGTTCTGGACTTAACTGGTTGGGCTAGGCGGGAAGCAGGACCGATAAGTACTCTAGACTGCTCACATGGGTTTTACGCGTCATTGGTCCGATCGATAATTCACTGCTCTCTAATTGGCGGTATCGTTACCTTATACATTAACAGGGCACACGGGTCACAAGTTATAACAATTTCATACTGACAGTGAATAATAGTGTAACATGGAATTCGACTGAATAGTTATCATATCACAGTAAACTAGAAAAAAACGTTGTCGTAGTATAATATCGCTTCATTACATCTTGAATTAAGTTTCGGAAATTGTTAGGTTATGTGTTCAAAACACCACATAAGATTCAGATTAAGTTTCTCTTTATGGTAGGAACGTAAGTGTTAAAAGAAGTTGAATAGTGGTTAGAAGAGGAATCTAGAACGTATTTGTATGTGTGTATTTGAGACGTACCAGCTAGATTTATCTGTATTCCATTGCTGAGGTTCATACCAAGATAGAAGCTCAGTACCTTTCAATTAAAACCCCCATTGTGCTATCTGCCAAGCTACTGAGTTTAATTAGTCATAGCTTATCCAGTGGGTGTATATTTTATTTGTAAGAGTTTATGTCCCACTGCTAAGGATGGATGTACTGATAAAAAGAGACTGATCGATTGCAGTCCTCAATATAAACAAAAACAAACCAAATACAAATAAAATATATCGGTTCTACTGCTTACTCCATAATAGAACGAAAATGTTCTTCTGAAACACCAATATTTGGATCACTTAATCGACTAATAATATCTGGTACAACATTATACAATGAGTTTCCTTTTTGTGATAATTCATGGAAAAATCGACGAGCTAAAATATTCAGTCGGTCAATTTCATCTACCAAGCAAACAGTCATCTCACTAATTTGACCTTTAACCTAAAAAGAGGAATAATGGAGAAGTGAAACGATTAAGTAAATATGTATTTGGAGACATATAACTACTTGGTAATTGACACATTTAATTGTAAGCTGTCTCTAAGATGTGTTGGTAGACGCAGATTAACTGAATGTAATCTGCAGGATCATTATAGCAGACAGTTGGAAATATCGCGTGATCTATCTACGAATTGGTTGGAATAATGTAGATGCATCGGGCCTTACTTTTCCTTGGATCTTAAGTTCTAAAATTATCTCGTTAATTTTATTACGCGACTTTATTGTTTCTTCGCAAATCGTGTTGCCTATGTTTGACTGTTTTTGCTACCATTGATATTATTAATACTTCTATTACTCTAATATATATATATGTTGGCTATTGTGATACGATTTACCATTCCTAATTTATTCCCAATTTATTAGTTACAGTCTCTTGTACTCTCAGCCACTTTGGCTTAATCTTGTATAATAATTATTTTTCATTTTATGGTGTGATAAGGTCTCGTCTGCTTTTATGTAAGCCAGGTATGCCTGAAATATGCGATTTACAAGGATGAGGCTGATATTTGTGTTCTGGACTGAGAACCAATAAGGATTCAAAGTTGACTCAAGGCTGCTAGTGCTGGTTGACGTGTCATTGGTTTAGCACAGGGATAAGGTCATAGAATTTGGTATTTTAATTGGTGATTTTTGTCATGTGATATTTGGTGGGTCATAGAATATAGCAAAAAACCGTTGGGAAGGTTGCAATACGATTAGACTCATGACACTTTTGGCACCCAAAAAGCGAGTCTACATTACGTTACCATTTAGAGGTGACTCAAATAGTCTTATGTTGAAACAGAGACTTAAATTAGCCATCGAAAGGATATTTTATGCAGCCCAACTCGTCATTATTGAAAAGAGAAGGTCTATGTTTCATCAAAAACCCAAATAGCACGTAAGCGATTGTGTCACATCCAACTGCGTTTATCAATTTACATGTATGTGCAGAAACATGTACATAGGGAGGAGCAATCGTGATCTGGAAGTTAGGGTGGCTGAACACATACCTAAATGGCTGCAAAAACAAATGAATTCCAATGGTCAAATAAGATCGCAGGACTGAAAAACATCTTCCTCCACTGAGAAACATCTGATTGACATCAGTCATAAGGTTGATATCAAGGCAGTCTTTATAGTTTTGTACAAAAACCTTCAAGGGTACATAATAAGGTTTATTAAATCCTTGACTGTACAGAAACTAAAAACCCCTTTAAGTGTTCAAAAACAATTTGTTTTTACCCTTAACCTACCTAGTAATACTGATTTATTATCCAGAATGGTTTTCACGCTGTTTTTGTGTATTTTATTATTATCAGATGGGTTTTGTGGATATTATAGTAATTTCAATGGTTAAGATCATGAGTCAGTTGAAGCTAGACCACCATGAAAAACCTGAAAGCACTGGACCAGTGGAGTCCAACCAGGGCTGTTGTGAGATAGTAACTCACTGAAGACAATGGTGGATGTGTCGTTCAATTTCGTGGATTAGTTGAAGTTAGACATTAACACCATTGGATGCCGGCTCAGTGGTCTAGTGGTTAAGTGCTCGCGCGAGAAACCAGTAGATCCTGGGTTCGAATTTCACAGGGGGCGAGGTCGTGGGTGCGCACTGCTGAGGAGTCCCACAATAGGAAGAAACGGCCGTCCAGTGCTTCCATGTTTTCCATGGTGGTCTAGCTTCAACTGACTCATGATCTTAACCACTGACATTTTATTATTATTATCTTTGTTTCCGCTTACCTTTTAATTTGTCTAATTAGCCTTTTATTTTTCATATAAAATATCTTCACAAGTATATGTGAATGATTAAACTGTTCCGAATGTATTGTGCATATATATCACATAATCCTGATAACCTTCATCATCTCATTTCATTATCGAAATGTATCAAAGGGACTAATTGTTTGAAACGTATTACACAAAAAAAGTTTTCTACGTGATTTGAAATTTATGAATTGAACAAAATTCAAGCAAATTTTTTTGGAAAAAAAGATAACGATGCACAATTTTTAGTTACCTTCACCATATCATTCAAAATTAAATGGCTTAATGTATTCAATGCATTTGTACGAACTTTTGCTGAGGTATCACGTAATCGAGCATATAGATTTGGTGTCCATGGTTCAATGAGGTTAGGGAATCGACGACATAAATCACCTAAAGCTACAATTAAATTAGCTCTGACTATTTCTGATTGACTTCGTTCAGCCATTGTAAATAATAGTTGAAGACGTGGTTCACATACTTCAGCATTGACAAGCATCATTTTTGCTAATCCAAGACTGGCGGATGCCTGAAAAAAAAACATAGCATAAAATAATAGTAGTGAAAAATTTGTGTTATGTGGCGTCCAACTCTGATACTGATGAACAAGCTCCCTATTCATATATCTAATCAACTACTTGAATGGAAAGGAAACTTTTTATCTATTAACTGGATCTAGAAATAGCTGTACACTTGCTCATTTTTATACAACATATATCCCTTAGGAATTTAAGTCAAATTTTCCACCAATAACGTATATCTCATTCTTTAAAGAAGGAAGTCACATCTTGGTCAACTGCGTGGACTTATCATTTGGCTGACGTCCGATTGTCCTATTGTATCAGAAATGTTCAAGGTTATTATGAACGGTAAAGGTTAGGTACCAGTAAATAAGTAGAAAAAAGTAGAAGTTTGGTGAAGACTATCCTACCATGGATTATTGTTGGTTACGAGTATTTTTTTAATATTACTCTAACTTTTAACTTTTATTTCATCTACTGTTCCCCAGATCCAGTTACTTAATCCTGTATATGCTACCCGGTTTTATACCATAAATAACCTAATTAATCAAAAACTATAATTTCCTATTTATTAATTGACGTGCTTTACCATCTGAAACATAGAGTTATAAAATATACAGAGCAGATCTGCCGACTTTTCGCGTGTATTGATTAAGAAGGTTATGGATAGAAGGAAGTTATGCAGGTAATCACCATTGATATACTTTGTACTTTACCACCGTGCTGATACGATATGACGTATGGTAACTTGAACCGATGTACATAACTAACTGTTATGTCGTGCAGGTGTCCGAGTCTGCTAATGATTGTATACGTGAGCCAAACGGGGTACTTGAGTGAAAAACAAAGAGCGATCACGTAAGCTTTAATTGACTGAAGGGAATTAAGGATATATGTACAACTCATTTATAAATACATATCATTCTCCCTTAGAAAACTAACCCACATTTTCAATCAGGAGTCTCGTTCCTTAGAGAGCGAAAGCAAAAATCTTAACCAATAGTTTACGCTTACTATTTGGTCCGCCTGACTGGCTTAGCATATCACTAACTAAGTGATTATAAGAGCTAACCGACTGTCCAAACTGAAGCAAGCTGTAGAATCTGGTTCGAAACTATGAATCAATGACTGAAAGACAAATGCTTTGAATATCAAAATTACCGGGTGTCACGCTTTACAATTAATGAGAAATGAACAAAACAACCAACTCACCTGTACAGTTTCATCTGCGAATCTTGACGGATGTGAACAAACATAAGTGACGAAATTTAATAATGGATTTAAGACAAGGTCAGGTGATTTTAATAATTCGTGATCGCATATATGACGTATGTAATCTGCTTCGGTATCATCAGCTGCTACACCAACTAGACCAGATTCTTCATCAACATTCGGTTGACCGGTTGTTATTCCTGATGAAACATTGACAGAGTTTTCCATCATTGACATCTTATGAAATAAATAAATAAAAAGAAATACAAAGTGTTTTTACTAAAGTTTGATAATAGTTAGCAATGGAATCCAGAGCGTGCATTTCGTTTTGTTCGGGACTCATCAGCTGGATGTACCTGGATCCGGAGTTGATTTACACACCTAGACTTAAATCAAACATACCGTTAAGCATCCTACATAGTATTGATTAAGCTAATGAATTTAGCTATAGGATATAGAGACTGATGAATTACAGTTTTAACATTAATAGCTGGTATTTGATATTATACAATTTTCAACTTGTTCAAAATAGACTACTATTTTGATTTTATCCTGTCTAGTATATATCCCTATATGCTCCAGGATGAATTAAAATATTCCCGGTAATGTGATCAACAAGGTGTCAGTTGATTAATTAATCCAGGTACATTATGAACGGTATATTAAAAGCGATTTATAATTTCATCTATGAGAACAATCATTAAATAGTGCTAGATATTCCATTAGATACTTTCCAGATCAGTTCTGAAACATGAAAAGAAAGGTAAAAAGCACCTATTGAGAAGGAGGTGGATAGATATAGAAAGTACAGACAAGTTAGTTTGATCTAAGTGAATCTTGGTAACAGATTCTACGAATGTGCTCAAAAGAGGATTGTCAGTAGGGTGAGGTTTTGTTTATTGTATATTCAAGTCGAAATACTCCGATTAATTTATTTTCAACTAGTCAGGACGAGTGTACGAATCGAGATGCTACGAGAGTTTTATATAAATTATACATCAAATTTTAATCTTTTCATTACCGTAATTTTGTTGTTTAACTCCACCTGTAGCCCTTATAGGGTTACTGCCGGTCCCAAGCCCGGGTAAAGGAGGAGGGTTGGGCATGGGGTTAGCGTCCCCATCCCGTAGAAAACTAACTCGCTAAAAAAACGCTTACCAGAAAAAATAATCCAAACCATTTAAACTCTGCCCTGGGAGTTAGAAGGTCTTCAGTTAGAAGAATTATGACGCTTCATGGTGAAAGCCGAGTTCCTTCGGAAGCCACGAGGCCGATGCCCCTTCTAACAACCAGAGCAAAAATTTTTATAGGTACATGGAACGTTCGAACAATGTGGGAAACCGGGAAGACCAGTCAAATAGCAATGGAAATGAGGAGATACAACTTAGCAGTACTGGGAATCAGCGAAACCCACTGGACCCAAGCTGGACAGAAAAGGCTAGCTACGGGAGAGATGCTGCTATACTCCGGTCACGAAGAGGACAATGCTCCACACACTCAGGGAGTCGCTCTTATGCTGTCCAAAGTAGCACGAAATGCACTTGTAGGATGGGAGTCTCACGGATCCAGAATCATCAAAGCATCATTCAAAACAAAGAAGGAGGGGATCTTAATGAATATTATCCAATGTTATGCACCCACCAATGATAGCAACGACGACATTAAAGATCAGTTCTACGAGCGGCTGCAGTCAATCATTGAGAAATGCCAAGAAAGGACCTAACTATTCTGATGGGAGATCTAAATGCCAAAGTCGGAATAGACAACACTGGATATGAAGATATTATGGGACGACATGGACTGGGAGAAAGAAACGAAAATGGAGAAAGATTTGCAAATCTATGTGCATTCAACAAATTGGTCATAGGAGGCACAATATTTCCACACAAGCGTATACACAAGGCTACATGGATCTCACCGGACCACACTACAGAGAACCAAATAGATCATATTTGCATCAACAAAAAATTCCGAAGGACAATGGAAGATGTGAGAACCAGGAGAGGTGCTGACGTAGCTTCAGATCACCACCTAGTTGTAGCCAATTTAAAACTGAAGCTAAAAAAGAACTGGACAAGTGGACAAACAGCACTACAAAGGTTCAATACAGCCTTCCTTCGAGATACTGACAAACTCAATGAATTCAAGATAGCTCTCAACAACAGGTTCCAAGCCTTACAAGATCTACTGAAGAAGAAGAAACTAGTATGGAGGACAACTGGAAAGGCATCAAGGAAGCATTAACTTCAACGTGTCAAGAGGTTCTGGGCCTAAAGAAACACCATCATAAGGAATGGATCTCTATAGAAACACTGGACAAGATCAAAGAAAGGAAGAACAAGAAGGCAGCAATTAACAACAGCCGAACACGAGCAGAGAAAGTCCAAGCACAAGCTGAATACATAGAAGCAAACAAACAAGTGAAGAGGAGCATTAGAGCCGACAAGAAGAAATACGTGGAAGAACTAGCAACGACGGCAGAAAAAGCTGCTAGAGAAGGAAATATGAAACAGCTTCACGATACAACGAAGAAACTAGCAGGGAAATACAGTAAACCAGAGAGGCCGGTCAAAGACAAAGAAGGCAAGCCAATCACCGAAATTCAACAACAGCGTAACAGATGGGTAGAATACTTCGAGGAACTCCTGAATAGGCCGGCTCCAATGAATCCACCGGACATCGAAGCAGCACACATAGATCTTCCTATAGATGTCAACCCACCAACGACGGAAGAAATTAGAATGGCCGTCAGACAAATCAAGAACGGGAAAGCAGCAGGACCCGACAACATACCAGCTGAAGCACTGAAATCAGACATCGAAGCAACCACAAGCATGCTATACCTTCTATTCAAAAAGATTTGGGAGGAGGAACAAGTGCCGATGGACTGGAAAGAAGGACACCTCGTCAAGATTCCAAAGAAAGGAGATCTGAGCAAATGTGAAAACTACAGAGGCATTACACTACTGTCAATACCAGGGAAAGTCTTCAACAGAGTGTTGCTGAACCGGATGAAGGATGCAGTAGACGCCCAACTTCGAGATCAACAAGCTGGATTCCGTAAGGATCGGTCGTGCACAGACCAAATTGCAACACTACGGATCATCGTCGAACAATCAGTTGAGTGGAACTCATCACTATACATCAACTTCATTGATTATGAAAAGGCATTCGACAGTGTAGATAGGAGGACATTATGGAAACTTCTTCGACACTACGGAGTTCCTGAGAAGATTGTCAACATTATCCGGAACTCATACGACGGACTACAGTGCAAAGTAGTGCATGGAGGACAGCTGACAGATGCATTCCAAGTAAGGACTGGAGTCAGACAAGGCTGTTTACTCTCTCCCTTCCTCTTTCTTCTGGTGGTCGACTGGATTATGAAGACCTCGACATCTGAAGGAAAACACGGAATACAATGGACAGCTCAGAATCAATTAGACGATTTGGACTTCGCAGACGACCTAGCCCTCCTATCACGTACACACGAACAGATGCAGATGAAGACAGCCAGTGTAGCAGCAGTCTCTGCATCAGTAGGCCTCAGCATACACAAAGGGAAAACCAAGGTCCTCAAATTCAAAGCGGAGAACAGCAATCCAATCACTCTTGATGGCGAAACTCTGGAAGATGTAGAGTCCTTCACATACCTAGGAAGCATCATCGATGAACAAGGAGGTTCAGATGCAGACGTAAAGGCGAGGATCGGCAAAGCAAGGGTCGCATTCCTACAATTGAAGAACATATGGAACTCAAAACAACTTTCAACCAATATCAAAGTGAGAATCTTCAATACGAACGTCAAGGCAGTTCTACTGTATGGAGCTGAAACTTGGAGAACTACAACAACCACAATCAAGAAAGTACAAGTATTTATAAATAGCTGCCTACGCAAGATACTCAACATCCATTGGCCGGATACCATCAGCAATAGCCTTCTGTGGGAGAGAACAAACCAACTTCCAGCTGAAGAAGAAATTAGGAAAAGACGATGGAAATGGATAGGACATACATTACGCAAATCGTCAAACTGCATCACGAGGCAAGCCCTAACTTGGAACCCTGAAGGGAAGCGAAAAAGAGGAAGGCCAAAGAACACATTGCGTCGGATTATAGAAGCAGATATGAAAAGGATGAATTACAACTGGACGGAGCTAGAAAGGATTGCCCAGGACAGGGTTGGATGGAGAATGCTGGTGAGTGGCCTATGCTCCTTCACGAGGAGTAACAGGCGTAAGTAAGTAAAAGTAAATTTTGTTGTTTGGATTAAACATAGTAAACCTTGTTTCTTTTTTGAATTTTGTTCTGATTTGATAAGAATTGAAAATACCAGACAGACGAAGAACAATAACAGCTACAATACAGATGAATTTTCTGGGGAGATTAAATACGTTTTCAAAAACTACTATCATAGGTTAAATGAGTATCCTATTATGACTGTACACAGATAGAGAATAACTGAATACATATCTACCTAACAATGGATAGTACATAATGTGACCATAATTAATTCTCAAGATATGGTCTTGGAGTATCCTCATCGAATCACTACATAAACTGTGATTTAAGTTAAATAAACAGATTCAAGGTTGAATTATTCTCAACGAATAAACACTGAAATGTGACATCAAACTATGACACTGTCATTTTCTTAAACATTTAGTATAAACATGATATCATTAAATTCAGAATAATAAAATAGATCAGTTTTTCAAACCAATTAGCATATAGCTATGGAATCGAAAATTTGCACAATCCATAACTACAGAATGAAACTGGTTTAAAGTAGCAAATTACCAAAAAGTTTGAAATGGATAGTTATGTGACAGATAAGTAATAAAACCAAGCATGAATCAATTGTTGTCCACTTCAATGAGCACTGTTGGATAGGGGTAGCTGTAGGTTTATTAGAAAGCTAAGGACAGTCGAATAAAAAAATGGTATCGATCTATGGATCCAATTACCGTTGGTTCAAACTATATTAGAAGGTGAAGACTATCCAACTATAACCCATATGATGTGATTTAATGTTTGAAAACATCAGATAATGTTGTACAAAATCAGTCACAGTTGGACAGTTACATTCATTCCCTGTGTCTTTAAAAATACTGAGCCTTTATATTGTTTCAAAATTTTTACTTCACTATCCTTAGTACTATTATTTTTACTCATATCGAGTGCACTACTAATTGCAAAATGTAAGTAGTATAGACAAGTTAATAATGGTGGTGATGAAAAACTCTTGGAAGATACAGGATCAGTGTATTGCTAATAGTTAAATTGTGTCCTAGGTTTTCATTGAGTAAAGTTATACCTTTAAAAAAGTGTTTATTGAAAATCGCTAGTTTCATGTTTTATTTTGATATTGTGTTGTGTCCCGATGAGAATAATGAATGGTAACTGTTGGAATCTATTTATGGACTAATACTATACATATATTATTATCGTATAATTGTTAAACAACTAAACTATTCGTATTCATGTCTCTCTTATTATAAGCTTTATTTTAACCTATGAACTATTATTATACGATTTTCCATTCTTGAATTATACCCTGTCTATTAATCACTACCTCGCACGTTCACAGCCACATTTGGCCAAATTTTGTACAAATGTTATTTTCTATTTTATCCTACGATGTGGTCTGCTTGACTGGTATATAAACAGAGTATGTCTGAAATACATGATTCATATCACAGAGGCTGAGATTGGAGTTCTGGACTTAACTGAATGGGCTAGGTGGAAATCAGGACCAATCAGCACTATGGATCGAAATCGAAAGGATGAATGGAACTTGAGAACAACTGGAAAGGAGGTTATAGGAAAGAACTGGCGTAAGTAAGTAAGTAAAGTTGGTACTGTACACATACGATGTCAAGATGGTCTTTGGGATCATAATCATAATAATTTGATTAACTTAAGATCGAAACTATAATCCAGAAAACAATAACGCGATGATATCAATATGTAAAAAAACTGTTGAGAATCGGCTAAGGCAAAAGCACATCATCTACATTAGAATCAGGACATTAAGTTCTCTAAATGTTAGTAGTTTAAAGAAAGAAAACATCTACACTTTATGAAAGATTGAAAATTTGGACAAACCCTTGACTGCCTGATATTTTTTCGAGATTTTGACTTTCTTTTCGAATCACGATCTTCTTGAATTAAAGCACGTCGTTTCAATTCGGTCAGTACAGCCGATTCCATGAAGACAAGTTGTTTTAAAGTAATATGACCAATTAATGCTAAGAATCTTGAAAGTAGAAATGCCGGTACATTGACACTGATCAATGATGATGTCACATCTGGATCTGATTTCATTTGAGATGATGGTGGAACATTCTCTTGTTCATCATTATCATCATCACTCTGTACTAATTTATCAAGTATTTGATTATTATCTACTGCAGTTTCATTTGAATTAACCGGATTAGGCAAAACTGATTTGAATTGCATTAATTTTTCAGCTGTTGAACGAAGAAGATAACACATGATAGAATCGGGCGCTTCTGCCAAATCATATATTATACTGATAGCCTATTGACAAAATAAAGAGTGCATGGGAATTTAATGAGGCAACACAAAACACCAATCTACTAATATTCAGGCAAATTGATTTTATCATTAAACTCCATGCAAGCAATATAAATCAAAGTCGAATACATAAACATGTAACTTGATCAATAAATTACATTGATAATAATCATTTAACACTTACTTGTTCCATCATTGGTACCCATAGTACTTGATTTGATTGGGATACTGTAGAAATAAGAATTGTTTTCAATCGAGTAAACAAAACATGATTGGTAGGCAGTCGAAATGGTTTTAAAAGTGAAGATTTATCACCTGATTTATCAGACTGCAAGGAAAAAAAACGAAACAAATATGAACTTTTAAAAAATATTTTCAGCATAGAAGGGAAGTGCTTTATGAAGATCATTGAATTGTATAGTTTTACGGACTAACCTCAACAATTATATATCCTAAGGGTCAAGTTTGTTATTTTCCTCTCTGTGAAGTTGGGGTTCCAAAACCATGATAAAGGGGACCTTGGATTTATACTACAGAGGCATTCCATACCACAACTAAACAGCTAGCTTAGCCAATGCTTTCCAAGTTTTCTAATTAAAAGTGAGTCAGTAACTGACAACTACAAATTCAATAATCTTCTAAAGTTCTTTTATATTAATATGATTCTTTCAAGGAATATTCTCCCTCAATTAACAAGACGAGATAATATCAAATTGATTATACCATAATGACAAAATACATATTGTACTTGGTACAAAATAAAAACTGTCGTTAAGTGACAACAGATGAAGATAACCCATCAATAAAATGCATCAGTATATATTTAGTAATAACGCAAAAAAAGTGTTATGGCAAGCCAATCAGAAGTGACCTGAGGAGTAATTTCATCTCATTGGCAAATAAATGGGTTGATTTCCTAAGGAGTATATAAATGAGTATCTGTGCATTTTATTCCGTAGCCTAACATACTTTCTCGACCACCTTTGTGTTCTCGCTTAAGTAGTCGGTTGGGCGGACACCGCCTGTCATAACAATAAGTCAATAAAACGGAAATGGGATTTAATGATGAGACTATATATTCAAGATTTATATGAAAACGAAAAGTGAATTCATTTAGACACGATTATCATCTAGTTTTAATCCATTTTATGACTGTCATTATCACCATCAATAGCTTTTCTAATGTCTGGTTCTCCGTATGTTATATTCTTGAAAGTCTTAGCTGTGATAGTTGATACTTTTTCTATACTTTTCAGACTAGATTTTCATCTACTCATAGCTTGTATAAACAAGAGTCGAACCTAAATCATTATTCTGTATATGCGTAAACAACTGTCAAGTATAAACACGCGTAATCTAGTCTTCTCAGTCAATACAGGCTGAAACAGTAGGCCAATAGAAAGTTGGCAAATGACAAGGCCACATCATACCAGTTGAAAATCTCCCAATGACAAGTGGGTTTGATTGGCCAAGCAATGATTTTATTTTCTGAGGAGCATATATATATATATATATATATATATATATATATATATATATATATATATATATATATATATATATATATATATATATATATATGAGTGCTTATGGATGTAAATCGGGTTAGCCCAATAGATTTCATTCTTCGCCCTTAGTCTTTTCAATCAGTAGCCGGTTGGGAGATTGTATATAGGATTTTTGTGTATCAGCATCAGTTTCAGATATCACCCGTTACAACAGTTGGATACTCGCAATCTTATTGAATGATTTAGTTTACTTCCTGTACAGAACTGTACTACGCCGACCACAAATTCTCTTATCATATGACTACGCCATATCACTGGCCATCTATTGCCCACCGTAGGTGAATTTCATTCCACTTTCTTATCATCAGCATACAATAAAAGAATAATCGTAAACATTCATTACCTTAGTTGATGGAACCATTCGTCCAAGCACTTCACAGGTGAATTTAACACGTTCTAAATCAATAGGACATGATGAGTCTAAAGGTTCAAGTCCGTGACGAATAAGCGTATCGAGATGGCGATTGATCTCTTTAGCTCCAGATCTGAAAGAAAAAAGAACAATATATAAAACACACGTATCCATAAACAGTATCTGAGATGATAAAGAAGAGTTCTAGTTTGAGTGGATGATTTCGGTGAAGTTTTAATTAAGCCATTCAGCTCATGGCACGAAGATCTATCAAAATCTACAGTTAATATATATGACAAATATTTACGAGTTGAGAACAATTGAAACTTGGTTGCGAATATTTCATTACTATACTTGAAAATTCAATTTATATGTTTCTTTTCCTCTCAAAAAGATAACATTTATGTAGGCACCACAGCTTATTGGTCGAATACTAATGTGCAAAATTAACCCAGGTTTAATATAGTTTGTATAAGGTCAGTAGTGGTGTTACTCTGTTCATCCTCCAATATTCCTTTAAGCAATATTAATTCGTGAAGAAAAAATCTCGCACTTGAATTATTTGTACTCAGAAAACAGCTAAGCTATTATCATGGAATCAAAAGCTGCTCTATTGTACAAATACACTTTCAGACTAAATAAAATTGAAGTTCTTATTAACTTTACTCATCTATCAATTAACGTATTCAATGTCAGTTCATAAGTGATGTTGCCTTTCCACAATGAAAAGATGGAAGTTGGAAAAGATCGTGACCTAAAAATAGCACACACACACTTGGCCTGACTCCTAGTCATAAGGCCTTAAAACGTGTAGAGAAACACTTTCGAAACTACTCAAAATATTATATGTAACCGGCTTCAAGCAACTATTTCTTGAACATTGCAATCAATCTTCTAAGTTGCTAAGACTACCACCTTTACAGGTACACCAAGAAGAAAAGAAGTACACATTGAAAGCTTTACGACTAAATCATGAAGAGCGGAAAAAAGAAATTCAACACCACAAAAGCAAATATACAAGTATAAACAAATAAACATAGATATTCTCTTACTTTACAATCATTTTAATGATAAGCAACATTGATTTTGCATCATCTGAACTATCTTTATCAGTTCGACTAGCTGACTGAATAAATCTTTGCCAAAGATGATCAATTAAGGTAGAATCAAAGTGATTTGATGCAATTAATTGTTGAATAATTCGTTCCATACTAACTAGATCACCAATTTCTGAATCACGTATAAAATTGCTTAAGTTTGTTGCAACTAAATCAGCACCTTCAACAGTTAGCGTACCATCGGATTTGAAATGTTCCTCAGAATCTGGTTGAAGATATAGTTTCCTTAAGAATAATGAACAGAAAGAGAAAGAAATAAACAATAACAGAGACTACCATACACCGTTATTTTAAGTGAGAGATTTCTGGATTGTCTGTAGTTAAGCTGGACATAAATGTCATATGTTTTAACTTGAAATACTTAGTTCGAAACTAGACGCAGTAACATAAACCATACACTATAGAAAAATAGAAGTATGTTAGTTTGGGTAGACTGAAGTGTGACTTAAAGCCTAGTCGCAACAAGAATGTTCGTTTTTGAGAAAATGGAAAAAAAGAAGAAAACAAGGACATTGTTGAAATATTGGAATGGATAACTTACTGACATGCTTCTATAACAGCTTTCTTTATAGTTTCTTCTTGTGACCATATCAGTGTTAATAAAAGACGTATACCATTCTCTAGACCTTTAACACCAGCTTGTTTTGCAATAACAAAAAATTCAATGGCTTCTATTACATCTGATATTGTTTTTGATGAAAGCATCGATTGAAAATCTTTTATCGCTGTTTGAATATGTAATATAAAAGAAGATGTTTCTAACAGATAAGCAACACAAGCCCGTTGACGTATTACATCAGCTGTTAATTGTGTTTGTGCAACACTTGCTGAACGCAATGGAGATGATTCTATCATTAAATCATTACCACCTCTAATACCAATGCAATTATTTTCAGTTGATAGATTATTGACAGACCCAGCGGCAACTGCAGCTGCTGAATGAATTGCTGCTTCGAGAGCTGCTGCGGCATCTAATTCTGCTGTAGGGCACAATGTAACATTTGCATCATTACTATTATCTATGTCAACTTCGTCATCACTTTTCTCTTCCTCATCTTCCTCTTCTTCGTCATCGTCATCAGTGGCTTGTTCTTCATCCTCTGAATCAATTGATCGACGACCACGACGACGAAATAATCTTTTTCGACCACTATCTTCACTGGCAGCGATCGATTCTTTTGAATTTCTACGTTTAGACTTTTTCTTTTTAGCTAGAGATTTCTGAGTGTTAGTTCCGTTATTATTATCATCATTATTGTCGTCTTTAGTTGCTGTTTCATTTTCATCAAGTGTACCGAGTTTAGCTGGAATTGAACAATGATCAATAACATCAAATGTGGCTACATAATATGTAATTTTGATGAAAATGACGACAAATAATCATACTTATGCAGAAAATGAGAAATATTTAAGCAAATAATTGTTTTCAATAACTTCCTATACGGGGATTATTAGGCTGACTGATTGATACTTTATTTATTTAAACACATAAACATTGGTACAAGGAGGCACCAAATATATATGCATCACACTTCATCATTTGATTTGTGTGACGGCTAGAATACTACTGCTCGGGTACCCAAACCGAAACAGACGCCTTTATTAGGGGGCCACTTACTGAGCTTTTGACGCAGAGGTCTAATCCACAAGGTAATAAAGCAACGTTAGGAGATGCAGTCACATGATAGTCGGTGACCAATAATGGGCTCATACGCCATTTGTTCCATAAAGATCCTGGAGTTTATGTGCACCACTGGTTTGGAATCGGGGTTTTCCGACTCCCCTAGGTGGATCCACCAAATCTACCAACCCGGTTAAAGCGCCGGATATTGGCTTTCCGTCCTCTGAATTTCGTGAACAACAGCCTCGTCGAGAGAAGGCAGTGAGTGGGACTTCCCTGGCAGTGTGTGTATACGCATGGCCATGTGAAAGCATTTCGAGGGAGAGTAGACAGTCCCCACTCTCAGCCGTACCACGGCATTGATACTAATTGTTAGGGATAAGATGAGTCCATATTTTTCTCTTATCCCATGTAACAGTTTATGATATTAGTCTCATTCTTACTGTGACATCTTAGTTACTACGATACTGGCGTTACATTTTGTAATGTAACATAATTTCAGGTTATTATGTTTTGCTTCAATTAAGTGTGAATTTTATTCAGTATGATAGGTATGAACCTCTTCCCAGTGTGACGATGATATTCTTTGTATTATTCTATTTGAATCTCGTATGTATTTTCCACTAATCCTGTGTACCTTTTCCTTTATATGATGTTTAGTAATTCATTAACAAGTGTGTATAAAATTAGTATGTAAATGAGTGTATTTGGTATGATGATGACATGATTTTGAACGAATTGTTTTAGAGATGTATTATTGAAGAATTAATAAATCTTCATTTGTACAAGTTTTTGTGTTTCCACTTTGTATTATGAGAAGTGCAAACGTCTTCATTTTCAAGTACAATCAGTAAGACAGTAGATACAACAGAGGTGATGGTAGATATAACAGACATCACCTTAAGCTGGTTTACATGATAATAATATTTACAAAATTCTAATTGTTAAGCCTAAATTGGAAGTTACACAGAAAACAGTTATTTGTTTAAACAATTCTCTTTTTGTTTATTTAAAGAAAAAAAAAACTGAATTACATAGAAAACAATTTGAAATGATGAACCAATACTACTTAAAAAATCAAAAAGTATCGAGCATGCTTTATGTAATATTCCAAATGAGTATGAATGGATAACAAGAGACAAGGAGAATTATGTAGTACTGATATTGATGATGATGATGATGATGATAATGATGACAAAACAGAAGTGAACTGAAATGACAACCTACTACGTATATAAGATGATGATAATAATAATAATGGTGATTTCTGATGATATACACGTTTACAAACTGTACATTCACATTCACGCATACACATACAAAACTTAAGTTTACAAACAGATATACACATAATCATTGCTACTAGTTATGAATGATATTACTTTTTCGCTTACTAACAGTTTTATGACGAACTGAATCCATATTTTGAAGAAAAAACAAACAAGGTAATCAGAAGAAATAGATTTTAAAATCTATAAACAAGTAAAATATGCTGTTACCAAGTTAAATCTCTATTTACTCAAACCAATAAGATCGCTAAATTATTGAATGTGTTTATACCAAATAATATTAATATCCTTTGCATTACATGTATGTTTACGAAGTATACTGACACTGATTGATTAATACACAATTGTTCTGCCACTAGCCTGCCCAATTCGAAGACGAGAAAAATCAACTGATTTTCTTTGCATATTTTATAACTTAAAGTTTTACATCATAGTACAAGTCAACTGAAAGGTTACAACTCATCATAAATAGCAAATCATAATGTGCAATTAATTAGGTCATTTGCGGTACAAAATTGAGTAACATATACAGAATTAACTGAATGATGAGATGCATCAACAGTTAATGAGTGTAGTGAAAGCTTACAATTAGAGTAATATACAAAAGGAATACTCTAAACCAATTATGTAATAAAGATACATATAATAATCCACGGTAGAATAGTTCTTATTAAAGACCTACATTTTCTATTTATTCATCTATATTTAATATATAATACAATTACTTAAACAAGAGGATAATATAGAATATTTTATAGAATGAACCAAGTCTAATTATTGAGAGTTCACATTTTCTGGACTAAAATATAATCGACTAACCTTCAAACAAGTGATATTTAAGTGATAAGAATGATTCAATCTGTAAGAAACTGCTAGTCATACTTATTATCTACCTAGAATTTAAAATGCATGTTTTCGTACTACAACTCTTGTGGTGCGTGCTATTCATATTGACATAAGTAGTATATAACGCGAGTCAGGAATGTAATGTCTGGCACCAGAAGATTGGGTAAATCAAGAAAGGAAGAACGGGAATAGAAAGCAATTAGTATAGAAATGCAAGAACAATGAAGTCCGAGACAACTATTGAACATTTTGCAAATTAGATATTACAGTATGGTTTTTCTATTTTACCAAGTAACTCTGTAATGTTGTGCCAAATATAGTTCGGTTGTCCTCACCTGTGTTCTCCTTCACTACACTCCCACTATATTATTAGTCCTTCTCTTACAGTTTGTTGACGTTTTAAAACACGGTCCTTATTTTTTGCATCGTTTGTTTGAATCTTCCCACTGATGTTTAGGACTGCAATTAACCAGTCTCTTATTGGCATATGTGCATCCTGTGAATATTGCCTCGATATCGCCTTAAGTCACAAGCATTATGAGCAAAGATAGATGGTGGCTAGAAGTGGAATCCAGGATGCACTTTTGTCTTATTTGAGACTCGTCATCTGGGCATGCCTGTATCCCAGAGTTGATGTCCATTCCGGGACTCGAATCCAGTACCATCTGCTTTAAACTCCATCCGCGTTATCCATTTAGCTACTGAGTCCCGATAGCCACTAACCCGTGCAATCGGGTGGACTTTAAATCCATTTGAAGTGCCTACCTTGACGCGAGATGTTTGCTGTTGTAGAAGAACGTTTAGAAAACGCTAGAAGTACTCAAACTAAGATATGTTAGTCTATGAAGTCACTGACTGTTGAACTGATCTGTATTGGTAATTGAAGATCACGTGGTTGGAATTTACATGAATATCGTAACAAATGGCTGAATATGATATGATGATATCACTTCGAATTCATCACAACGGTACAGATGGGCTCACTATTTATCTTAAAATATTTGTATTTTATTACACAAATTCATTCATTCTTCTTGAATCATATTTTCCTACCCAATTTTTCCGAATTTTGTAGTGAACGAGAACACAGACGGGGACAACCAAATTTATTTTAATACACCATTACAGAATATCTTGGTAAAATCTGAGAATTATACAGTAAATACTTCATTTGCAAAATATCCATCAATCGTCCCAAACTTTATTGTTCCTTCGTTCCCATACCAATCACTCTCTGTTCTCGTTCTTTTCTCTTAGATTTTCTCAACCTTCTACAATCATATATTCCAATTTCGATTGGTGATACATGCTACTTATATCTGTCAACATCAGTAGCACACACAATACCACTTATAATGTTACTACTTCTACTACTCTGACACCTCTTGATAGTTGTATCTCACTATGGTGGTATGGTATCGCAACTTGAGCCGATACATATAAGTACTAATTTTTACGCTGCTTATGACAGACTTGGTTAAGCTCATAATGAATGATATTGGAAGTATGAGATTAGTTGATGGATTCACAAGTAACTCTGATATTAACATGTCGAATGCAAACTCAGCTATAATCGATATATGAACTTGCACATTTGTGTGTCAGTTCAAGTTGCCACATCAAATCATCACAGCAAGATGAAATTACCAAGATGAGAAGTAACTAAAGTAATGGCAGTAGTAGTGTAGTGTGTGCTACTGATGTTGACAGATAGAAGTAGTATGTATCACCAATTGAAAGTGAAATGCCTGGCAGCAGAAGGTTAAGAAGATCGAAGAGAAGAGAGAACGAGGATGGAGAATGATTGGTGTGCAAGAGAAGGAACGATCAATTATTCCTGTTAATAAACTCCAAGGTTACTGCTTTGATCAGTAGTGATTATCCTTATGATGACATTTCCTTGAGATATTAAAGACTATCTTACAAAGATTGATTTATTTTGTATGAATGGTCAAATATTATTGAAGTAGTGTCGTGTTAGTATTTTTTCCGATTCCTAACAGGTGCATTAAACCTACAGTTAGCAGTTGACAGGCATTATACTGAATACAAATCATAAAAGAGTAGCATTGTAATAGGGACCCGACACAATTTAATACATGATATCATTCAATTTGTTTATTGAATATATAGGCTATCAGTATAAATTGATAAATCGATCAAATTCTACACAATGTAGTCATTCATTATTGAGTTAGAGAAACAACTGATATGTGTTTTCCGAATTCCATTGGTCTGATGAATGATATAACATGATGTGAATTTCGATGCTAAATGATTTGCTCCTTCAATCTCATAAAATGAAATATTCTAGATGAAATAATCTGTAAATTAACAGATTACTGTAACAATAATGTTAGTTCACAGAAATGATACTAACTATTATTATTCAACAATGTTAAGTTATACTCACATAAAAACGAATAAACATTTAAATTTAGTATCAGATGGGTTTTGTGGATATTATAGTAATTTCAATGGTTAAGATTATGAGTCAGTTGAAGCTAGACCACCATGGAAAATATGGAAGCACTGAACGGCCGTTTCGTCCTATTGTGGGACTCCTCAGCAGTGGATGTGTCGCTCAATTTCGTGGATTAGTTGAAGTTAGACATTAACACCATTGGATGCCGGCTCAGTGGTCTAGTGGTTAAGTGCTCGCGCGAGAAACCAGTAGGTCCTGGGTTCGAATTTCACAGTGGGCGAGGTCGTGGGTGCGCACTGCTGAAGAGCCCCATGATAGGACGAAACGACAATTCAGTGATTCCAGGTTCACCATGGTGGTCTAGCTTCAACTGACTCATGATCTTAACCATTTAAATTTAAATTTAGAAAAAGAAAGAAAATAAACTACATACTTAATAGCTCTTCTAAACTTTCAAGACGTTTCGTTTCTTTATTTACAACTTGTTGTAATTCATTTGTAGTCAGCTGGGAAAAGAAATACAAAAAAATGAAACAATGGAAAATTTATTTCATAATGATGTTTTAACAGGTAGTTTGTGATCAAATAAAGTAATTACGTGTAGCCCATTTGTAGAGTATCATCTTTATATACTCTACATTGTGATACCGGTTGCCAGATAAAAATGAAATACATTGGAGTGGATCTCGAATCTAGAAGTATTTCAAAGACATTACACCATTGTCTAGTGACAACTGTCTTAGAATTGAAGAAAAAACTTTTATAAATTACTGATATCAATGAGAATCAGTGGTGCTGATTAACAACTGATTGTGAAATGAGTTCCTTGTAGTTCTATGTGAGAAAGTATGGAGTCTGACGGTTACTTATCAATAACATTAGATGATAATCATGTTATATAATCAAATGAGGGAAGCTGAGAAGTCAGTTGCGTCTAATAGAACAGTCTATAATCATAGCGATCGGAAAGATTTACAGGTTATGGCTTCAGTGACCTATAGGTCATGGGTGTGCACTGATGAGATATCCCAAACTAGTATATATATCACTGAGAGCTAGAACGTAAAATATGAGACTTCAGAATAAAACAATAAAGAAGTTTGATTTAGTACGTATAGAGAGGAAAATCAATCAAGAACAATACTAGGAAACTAATCAGGACAGAATGACAAGTAGGAAAATTGGAGAAAACTAATTTTTAAGAATTTTAGATGTATATGCGCCGGTCATCTGTTAAATACCTATCTCTGTAGACTAAATCAGATAGAGGAGATATGAACAAATCGAAAAATAACATTCCAGTTAAAAAAGTTAGATGAGAGATAGATTATTATTGACTACGAGATACGTAGTGAAAGCAAATAGGAAAACTACAATGAACACAGTCTAATAACTTTCTCTGTGATAAAATTCATAGTAGGTAATTCATAAGCATTTAAACGTAACCACACGTACAGATACACAAAGTATAATTAAGCACAAATAGATATATTCATACCTTTGCAGCAGGACACTGTAATATCATGGCTGTAAGTGTTTTACAAGCATTTTTTCTTGCTGAAGCAGATACATCCATCATTGCGCCTAGATTGCCAACTAATAAAGCGGCTAGTTTCGACTGACGACTGACTGGTAAACCCTTTTTGTATTTTGACAAAAAAAGGTAGGAAATTATTTGGATATAAAAAGGATACTATTTTGTACATTCTAAGTTTCATTTATCATCAATAAAGAAATCAGTTAAGTCAAGTGAAGATGGTCGTTTAAAAACGTGACAGTGAATTTGTGGCTCATAAGAGTGTGATTCATTAGATAAAACTGTACGATTTAGATTGCTAAGAGCCTGTAAAGTGTTCAGTTCACTAAGAAACATCGACGCGATTATGACGAGCTTCCAATATATATATATATATATTATATATATATATATATATATATATATATATATATATATATATATATATATATATATATATATATATATGGCTTTGAAACGCACTTAGTTATGAGAGCTAATGATACTATTCGATTACCCGAAACCGATTTATATGATGTAGAAGGGTTCGAATATAGAATCAAGTAGTTAGGAGTCGAGCACGTTAAACACTAAACTAATGGATGTAATAAACTTATTAACCGAGATTAGACAAGGTTAATGAATAACGGATGCTGTGGGTAGGATTACTATAATTGTAAATCCGTTATCAATATTAGGTTTTAAATAACACTTGTCAATATGAAATCTGGGAATAGTTTTACCATTTCCATACAGAAAAAACACACAAGTAGACGAGATTTTCCAGTGCATCGGGACGACGGAATGAATATTATACCAATGTATCACAGATACGGAATTAATCAGAAGTGTGTACATTATTAATATATATGTAACATAATAACATTACAAAGAACAAATACACATCGACTCACTCCAAGAACTACAATATTATGCCATATCTGTAAGGCTTTTGCACGTACATAACCATTCACGTCATGAATATGCTCCTAGTTAATGAGATAAGAGAATTATTTAGAAAAAATTAATTGAAATCTTAATGTAATGAGAGTTTGTAGTGTTACTCTATCAGACGACGACAATAGATTGTTTAGGGTGAATCTATATAAAATTATAACATCTGTTTTTAGTACTTGGTACTTATTTCACGAAACTCTGTTTGATTATTACAATAGTAGTGGATAACGCGATGGCGTTTGAAGCGAACAGCACTTGGTCTGAGTCCCAGAGTGAACGTAAATTCTGAGATGCATGTACATCCAGCTGACGAGTCTCAAATGGAACGAAATGCGCGTCCTGGATTCCACTGCTAGCCACTATCCATTTTTGCTTATGTATAACTTCGTTTATTGAATTTTCAGATACATCATACAAGAATAAGACAATATTAGTCGGATATAAGTTAAACAGAGATGTAAATCCATGATCTCAGATTATTCAAACAAGATATCAAGTGAAAAAAAATTTAATTGTCTACATAATTTAGTCAATTAATCACTCGTTCATTATTGATATACAGCCTGGTGCAAATGCAATTCAGCCCAAGTTACTCATAACAATATCACCCATAACCATGATTAAGTAGACCAGTTAAAAACATGAACAGGTGAACGTAAACATATTGAAAAAAGCATTTCATCAGAAAAAAATAAGCTAATTTACTTGGTGTAACATAGAAAACATATCTATCAGATAACTGTTAGTCTAATGCAGTGCTACGATGTTGGCTAAGAGTTCGTACGTTAGAAACAAGAGGCAAATAAATTTATTTTGATAGAAAGATACATTTACTAAAAATACAGCTTTGAGAATTATCTATAGGCAATTTAAGCTTACTAAACATTGTCTTCAGTAAAAATGACTTTTGATAGAAATTACTATTATTAGTGCTACCAGAGTTGTAGTTACATATCACAACCATCACACTGGATTTTTATTAAATGTATTTGAGGACGGGGGTACTCAGTCAAATAATTAGTTCATTCGATGACCGATTCATAAACGTAATTTAGTTCAATAAGGAATCATTCATAGTTCGGAAAATTCACTCATAGCTACTGGCCACTAAACTAATAAATACCATTTGTAATCATAAACCAATCATGAGTGTTATCGAGATAATTTAATTAAAATAATTCATAAGTAATTTAATCATGAATTGCTCTTAAATAATTACAATCTGAAAGAAGTGAAAAATAAAACAGTTTAAATGCTTTTCACAATCCAATTGCATAGTAAACTCATACCAGTAAAAAGGATTAACCTCATACCTGTAACAGATCCATTAAACGATCTCTTTGAACGCGTTCATTGGGATCCAATTGTTCACGTTTAGCAAATATAGGCACTATTTCTCCAATAACCCTAAAACACAATTTCTCATTTGATATGGTTCTTCATCAAGTCTACAACGAAGTAATGGTAGGATTGATTGAGCAAGAGTAGGATAGGTTCGAGCTACTTCCAATAAAAAATTGGAAAAATTTTGAGAAGCTTGTGAATCACGCTCTAAATCTGCTCCATTGTAGCTACATATCTCCTATAAAAAAGGTCACAAATAGTCATAAATTATTAATAACAAAAAAAAGAGACTATGTGAAACAGACTCGATTGAAATAAAAAATTAAACAGGCAGTATAAGTTTATTGAACTAAGCCGTGATGACAAATGACTTTGAACAGAGAAATCTCCAAGCCACCGATGTTAATAATAGTCACATTTGTAAAAGCAACTGGTTTCTATAAGGATTCTCAATTTTCTACCAAGAATTCGCGATATGTAGAGTAAAACCGAGCATATCAATTATAAGACAGGTATTGCCAAAGGGATTAAAATGGAAAATTGAGTGAAGTTAGTATATATATGTATATCGACTTAAGTTTCCGTACCATATCAGCATAGCTAGATTGAACTGTGAAAACAAACGTCAGGCTAGCAGAATTAGTAATAGTATCAGTAATAGTGGAAAACATTAAGAATAAATAATGTGATTCAAGAAGAATGGACAAATTTACGGAATAAGTATGAGCATTTCAGGACAGAGTGAATACATCTGCGACTTTGTGACTGATTGTAATTCATGTCATTCAACGTCTCCAACCACTGATTACGGTAGTCGCGTAGATCTCAACTAGATAGTCCACACCTAAACAGTTTATGACCTCATGTCTTAGTTTGACCGCTTTCTATCTCCGAACTTAAACATAAAGCATCGAGGTAGGGGTTGGCTGTTCATACGTAACACATGCTGCAGACACTTTAGTTAATAAATATTCCCTATTTTTATCTAGTATCCTACCTCTAACCATAAGATTGATCAGTTGTGTAAAATTGTAGGTCCATACTCTTGAGTAGTCCTAAATACGAAGAAGAACACAACTGTTCAATGCTTTTTAATTCCTAATGATTCTTCAGCTGTTACTTTCTGAAGATTAAATTCAAACCGAAAATTGTTGTGCATTTTTCAACTGTTATTAGCGTAAATTTATACAAGCAACTGATCAAATTATTTCATAAGTAAAATTATTGATTGTGTAGGTAAACATGTCCAGCTACGTTGAATTATAAATAATGTTACTGACTAAAATAATGATTCAGATATGTTTCGAATTCTTTCAAAAGAAAAAACGATTTGGTGATTAATACACATGATGCAGACCTACTACTCCATGCATTGGAGTTATTTATTTATTTGGACACATAAATATTGATACAAGGGGGTACCAGATATATATGCGCCACACAAAACAATGAGAATGGGAAGAGAAAAAGTATGTAAGGTGCGTATAAGAAAAGAAAAGAACAATAACGACCACAGATTAGTGTATGGTAGTTAATATTAATAATAATAATAACAGTGGGGGAAACGGAAAGGTACAACCAGAAGAATTCTTTCAGTTAAGGAAGACAACCACTTTTATGAAGAAATTAAAAGAAGGTTACAGCAGGATCACCATTGGTTTCTATTCTGAACCATATCTTATTATTATTATTATTATTTGAACACATAAATATTGGTACAAGAGAGCGCCAATATATATGCGCCACACAAAACAATGAAAATTCGAAGAGAAATAGAAAGAGAAAAAAAAACTAGGGAACGCAAAAGAAAAAGAGAACAATGACGAAGAGATTGGAGTAAGGTAGTGTGGTAGTAACGACGGAACGAAAAGGTACAATCAGAAGAAATCTTTCAGGTAAAGGAGACACAACCACTTTTTAGAAAGAAAGTAAAAGAAGGTTACAGCAGGATCGCCACTGGCTTCTATTCTGAGCCATATCTGATAACGTCTCTAGCCACTGTGTAGCACCATCTCTCGGACCCCAACCAGGGAGTCGTGAAGGACCAACACAAGCCAGTCCTTTGCAGCTTTCTTTCATGCCACGACACCATGTCATGCACTGACCACCTCTCCGCTTCTTCCAACCAGTCCCAGAGTCGGCAAATAATGCACGACGTGGAATTCTCTGGGACGACATTCGGAGAACATGTCCAAGCCACCGAAGTCGGTGTTTCAAGATGGTGACACCAATTGAATTATCATCTCTGTGCCCGAACACACGATGCCGAACCTCTGCATTACTGACATGGTGTTGCCACTGAATGTCAGCAATCCTTCGGAGACAGCGATGATCGAACACAGAGAGTCGTCTAACGTCCTCAACTCGGAGAGGCCAGGTTTCACAAGCATAGAGCAAAACTGCTCTCACCGACGCGTTGTAGATCCGACCTTTTACAGCCAGACTAACATCACGAAGGCGCCAAAGGTGGCCCAGATTGGCATAAGCCGCTCTGGCTTTCACTATTCGTGCATTGATCTCATCACTCACACCCCCACCAGCACTTATGCAGCTACCCAGATACACGAACTTCTCAACTACGTCTATCTGCTCACCGTCCAGGGTGAGTACAGGATTAGAATCCTGCCAGTCTTGTAGAAGTACTTTGCACTTCGAAGGTGCAAAGCACATACCATACCTACGGACACTGATTGCCAACTGATTAAGTGCGGATTGCATGCCTTGGGCATTATCGCACAGTAAGACAATATCGTCCGCATACTCAAGGTCGAGAAGTCTTTCTCCAGGCAACAGATCCACACCACCATTACTTACATTCATCAGAGCTGTTTCCAGAATGTCATCGATGGCAAAGTTGAAGAGGAATGGTGAGATTGGGCAACCCTGCCTAACCCCACTGCTCGAATGGAACAATGGAGAGAGGTGGTTGTATGCCCTCACTCTGCCTGAGGTGTTTTTATACAGGGCTTTCAGGATGTTAATAAACTTCTCAGGCACACCCTTCTTCAATAGACAATCCCAGAGAACAGTCCTGTCCAACGAATCGAAGGCAGCCCTGATGTCAAGAAACACTACGATTGTTGGCCTTTGAAAAGTATGGCGGTGTTCTAACATTTGGCGGAGGGTGAAGATATGATCAATACATCCTCGACCAGAACGAAACCCAGCCTGCTCCTCGCGAGTCAATCTTTCTCGGGTTTTGAACAACCTACGAAGAATGACGGAAGCCAATAGCTTGGACGCAATCGGAAGTAAACTTATCCCCCGATAGTTGTTACAAGAACGACGTGAACCCTTTTTAAAGATAGGGACAACTATCGACTCATTCCATGACGTTGGTACACACTCTAGTTCCCAAACCTTTGTAAACAACGTCGTCAATTCCTTAGTCAAAAAGTCACCACCATCTTTAAAAAGAGCCGGAGGTAAGTCATCTGGGCCAGGTGATTTGTAACGCTTCAAGAGTTGGAGTTCCTTGCGGACTTCCTCCTCATTTGGTGGATCAGTCGTCACCGGCCATGGAGGGCAGGACAGTCTGACCGATGTTGCCGGAGCAGCAGGCCAGTTGAACTGCCCTTCGAAAAATTCTGCCCATCGTCCAAGACGTCGATGGATGTTAGTGATTGGCATCCCATCATCCTCGCAGATTGTTTCACTCACACCAGACTTCTTGCTGCCAGTGGCTCGGATGAGCTGGAAGAGCTTCCGGTAGTTACCAGATGCAGCTGCTGCTTCCAGCTCATTAGCACGCATCGACCACCAGGCTTCTCGGTCCTTACGCAAGCTTTGCCCAATCTCCTTACGTAACATCCTTCGTTTATGGTCAAACTCACGGTCACCCGGAGTAGACCGACGGGCTTCAATGAGTTGTAAGGAACCAGAAGAAACCCAGTGCTTAAAGCGGGACGTTTCGCAAACCCACAACTGACTGTTCCCGCCATTTTCATGGCGTCATGCAATTGCAACCAATGCTCATCTATACTTTTCGGTGGAGTGGTAGCTAGCCTAGAGGCTAGCTCGGTTCGATACTTACTTGCAACAGAAGTTGCAACCAGCTTGCTAACATCAATCCGTTGATGGCGTTCACTTCGTTGTCCACTGAAAAGTAAGGCAAGATTGGCGCAGACCAAGGCATGGTCAGAGTCCAGATAGGTACTCCAAAAGGAGCGGCAGTCTTTACACAACCACGCCAGCGGTAGCTGATCGCGATGTGATCAATCTGAGTCCAGGCTTGAGATGCAGAGGGAGGACGCCAGGTGGCACATCGGCGATGACTGTGCCGAAAGTTAGTGCTAGCCAGAAACAGGTTGTGGTCTGTGCAAAGTTGCAGTAGACGGTCCCCGTTATCTGACCTGCGACCAACGAGTCCCCATCGGCCACCTAAACGACTCTCTTCTGTGCCTAGACGCCCGACCTGAGCATTCAAGTCTCCGGCTAGTACTACAATATCTGTCGAACGCACTTTCTGGAGAAGAACTGATAACTGGTGGTAAAACTCATCCTTGATTGCATCCGGGCTGCAATCTGTCGGGGCATAGGCGGAGATGACGAAAAGACATCGTTTCTCACGCCGATTTCTTCTCACTTTGATGGAACTTTCTAATCTAACAGCACATAACCGACTGTTAATGGGGATCCAATCGACTAGTGCTGCCTCAGCTCTAGCGCTTAGTGCGACACCAACGCCAGCAAGACCAGACGAAGATGCCACAGGGTCCCCGGATAAGCGCACGTAAAACAAGCTTTTCGAAGCGACAGATGGAGATCGAATTTGTAGTACTTCGCCAGAGTCTTGAATACGGGTCTCGGATAGACAACACACGTCGATATTAAGACTTTCCAAAGACATAGCCAGCCCTATCTGTTGTCCGACCTGCATAAATGTGCGAACGTTGAAGGCAGCCAGTTTGAATGGTGCACGTGGTTTCAGAAAATCTGCTTCAGTCCTCGTATTCGGTGGTAACATACAATTTTCAACCGGACAGTGACTCGAGAACGTATAGATACAGTCGGATTTCCACCAAAGACGAGCCGCTGTATAAGTATAAAAGAGGGTGAATAATGTGGAAAATAATAATAATAATGATAATAATAACAATAATGACAATAATACTAGTAATAATAATAACAGTATTAATAATGACAATAATTGTAATGATAATAATCTGAATCAATTGTTTGTTTTTCAAAGCAAGAAAGGTAATTTCCATAGGCATAAAGAGTTCATCAATTTGTGTGTGGGCTGTGATACTGCCCGGGTGCCCAAACCGAAGCAGGTGGTTATCTTAGGGGGCCACTCCCCGAGCCTTTGACCTAAAGGTCTAACCCACAAGGCAGTGGAGCATCGTAAGGAGATGCAGTCCCATGGTAGCCGGTGACCAACGATTGGTTCATACGCCATTCGTTCCCGCAGGATACTGGAGCCCATGTGCACCATTGATTTGGAATCCGGTTAAAGCGCCGGACATTCGCTTTTCGTCCTCTCATTTTCGTAGACAACACCCCCGCCACGAGAAGGCAATGAGTAGGACTTCCCTGGCAGAGGCTGTATACGCGTGGCCGTGTGAGAGTATTTCGAGAGGGAGAGCGGACTCTCCCCACTCTCGGCCGTACCAGGGCATTCAGTTCTGATAACGTCTCTAGCCACTATGTTGCACCGTCTCTCGAACTCCAGCCAAGGGATCGTGAAGGACCAACAGAAGCCAGCCCTTTGCAGCTTTCTTTCATGCCACGACACCATGTCATGCACTGACCACCTCTTCGCTCTTTCCAACCAGTCGCAGAGTCGGCAAATAATGCACGACGTGGAATTCTCTGGGACGACATCCGTAGAACATGTCCAAGCCACCGGAGTCTATGTTTCAGGATGGTGACACCAGTTGGATTATCGTCTCTGCGCCCGAACATACAATACCAAACCTCTGCATTACTAAATGGGGTTAACACTGGACGTCAGTAATCCTTCGAAGACAACGATGATCAAACACGGAGAGCCGTCTAACGTCCTCAACTCGGAGAGGCCAGGTTTCACAAGCATAGAGCAAAACTACTCTCACCGACGTGTTGTACATCCGACCTTTTACAGCCAGACTGGCATCAAAAGGCGCCAAAGGTGTCCCAGATTGGCATAAGCCGCTCTGCCTTTCACTATACGTGAATCGATCTCATCACTCGCGCCACCACCAGCACTTATGCATCAGAGTCGATCACTGGATCCATTCAATTCAATGTACTTAAAATAAAAGTTGAAATCTAGCAATAAATCAGAAAACATGAAATAAATCAATACCGTTAAAACTAACTTTTAATAGTTCACGAACAACACCAGTTAGTTTTTCATCTTCAATAAAAGATCTTACAATAGCCATAAGGCAATTGACCATATGCGGGAAACATTGTAATAATTGAGCTAATTTAACAGAACATGCAATACTATGACCATAACGACGAACTAAGGTGGCCAACAGACTGGTCACTGCAGCGCGTATATTAGCATTACTAGCCATATCACGATCTTCAAGCAATTTGTAACAGCAATTAGCTGGTAAGCTAGAAAAAAGAGAAATAAGCAATTCGGAAGAAAGAGTAAAGGAGAAATACATTTTAACGATAATCAATCATGTTAAATAATCATAATGAATAAGACGGAAGAAAAAAAGTATTTTTATTAAAAGGTGTATACTTAATGAAATCCTCTTCAGCTACTGGGGGATCCCAAAGTTTATCCAATTTTAAACGACAAATTTGGTCGAGAGCACTGACTGCCTTTTCGCATTCTATAAACCAATCCATGCATAATTGTAAATCAGACGGTCCACGATCACCTCGACGACCACCTTTTGCTCCTCTACCACGTCCAGCCTAGAAAATAAAAAAGGGTATACAGCGAATAGATACAAATACTTATTCATAAATAAATATTTGTAATATCCCAAAGAGTAGAAAAATTAGATTTTTTTGACGTTTCGCGATTTAGTGTAAGCCACTTCTTCAGAGAACAAATAAGTAAAATAAAATTAATCCAAACTTGGGTTAATTTTAATTTGGTTATGCTCAGTTGACACAATTGATAAGGAATTAGAGCTCATTCATAATATGTTGATTGAAATGGGATATCCACAGGGTTTCGTGAAGAAGCACTTGCGTGTAACAAGCAAGAAAATAGTGACTCTGACGGCTAATAAGAAACAGCTTTTCTTGAAGCTGCAATTCAATGGTGATGTAGCTAGCGATGTATTACGGGATAGATTGACTAGAGCAGTAAAAAGAACGTTTAATGCTGCCAACCTCTGTCTATCGTATTCAACCCGATCTATGGTGATTCCCCAACTAAAGGATAAGTAACCTGGTTATGCCACTTCTATGTGTATCTACGAATCCAGCCGTTCCTGAGGAGAAAGCTATATTGAGTGCACTACCAGGCAACTGAACCAAAGAATTAGTGAACACCTCCCTTCGTGGTTAGGAAAAGGTAACATCAAGACAATACGCAGCTCGCTTCTATCACAATTGATCGATAGCGGTCATGTAGTGGACAGAAACAAGTCATTTAAAGTTATTTATCGTATTCCTACTAGTTTTCCTTATGGTGTTCGCTCTCGTCTCTTACACATAGCAGAAGCTATAGGAACTCGAACCAACAATCCAAGTCTTTGTGTTCAGAAGAAATTTGAAACACCCATATCTCTCCCTTGGCCTTAATAAATGATTTTATTTATCGCATTATTATTTTCCATACTCGCTCTCTCTTCGTTTATTTTTTTCACCCCCTCCTGCCATTTTATATTATTTTCTCTCAAATACACGTTTCACGGTCCGATTATCTGAACAATTATTACATGAGAACTTCCGTCTAAATTTGAACGAATAGTTTCACAATATTTGAGCGCCCAGTTAATTTGAGACATTAAAGAGAAAGGATGTATTTGTAAAATCTTGAAAAAGCTTGGACCGGATTACCAGGCAAAACGTTGGATTTACTTCAAATTATTTCGCTGAGATTTTACAAACACATTCTTCCTCTTCAACTTCATATTACTTCATCTTACAATTTTATACATGTTATCTCACTGTCTATATTTTTCTGATCACTGACCTATTTCCGATTATGTAACATTGATTTGAGCCTTTATTATTCTTATCAAAACTAGTACACCTGTCATCACACTATCAATTTGTACTTTTCACTTATTATGTAATCGTTTTCATTGTTATCATTGACTCATAAACTACCTTGATTGGTTTAATAATACCGTATATGCATATAAATATTACTAATGGTTTGGTAGTTGAAGAAATCTTGACGACGATACAAGATGTATGTCCCATTTTCAATCAAGTTGAATCAGTTGCAACTAAAGAGAAAACCGAATATCCATCAAAAAAGGAGTGTGCTATTCAATAATTTTCTCTGTCCTAATTTACAATTGTGAAGTATATTAATATGGTATGGAGGACATTCAAAGCATAAATATCCAAATTCCTTTTCTAGAATATACATACATATATAGTTAAAGTTCGGTTGTAGAGGATTTTTGTGTCACTAAGTGACCCTAGTTAGAAACCACGTATACCTATAATAACTATTTGCTCAGTAGTAACCAAATTTGAGAGGTAATTCTTGGAGTCCTAGTAAGAAACAGTGACCAACAGAGTTAAACTATATCGGAAGTGGGACAGTTATCCAACAATGGCATTAGAATATGGTTGGCCAATATCGAGAATTCATGAGAGTCAGAAATGTAAACCACTGGGTGATAGTTCAGTGGTCTGGGGATTAATTACCCACTGCAAGACCTGAAGATCCTAGGCTCAGTTCCCGATCGAGTCATTAGTGTGCACTACGAAACAGCTGTTCAGTACTTCTTAGTTTTCAATTTTTGTTTAACTAGATCAATTTACGGTGTATCATATATATTGCAAAATTTGCTACAAGCTCGAGAGAGGGAACCAGAATCTCGCTCCCTCTTTGCTATTAGGATGTGCAAAAAGGTATCAGTAACAAAATATATAAAACTTACATTAGCGCCTACAGCAGATTTGGCATTAGCATTTAGTTCGTTTTCAAACATATCAACAAACTGACATAGTAGATATGTATGCATTTTCAATGCATTTCGATGTGTATTCATTTCAGTTCGATTAAGAACTGACTGCCCAGTTTGTGTAGATTCAAGCGCTGAACCCAATTGACGTACACAAACTTCATATCCTAGAATGTTTCAGGAGAATAACAATATAGCAGAATTTTAATTATTATCATAGGAACTAAAATTTATGGAGCAATAGATATCACCGATACTAATACAGTAAATAGAAGATAATTAATTTTATCAATTTATTCTTAGGGTACTTGTTAAGTCCAGAGGAATAAACATTGCAATCTATCAAGCTTAGTTTTAAACAGTCGGATATAGTTAGCGAAGTTCAGTTTTGCTTGTGTTTTCTGTACAATAAAAGCAAATAAGCAAACTAATGCCTGAAACCATGAGGTGACCTATATTTACTACAGAGTAAATATTACTACTATAATTATTACTCATTTAAAAATTGCTAAACCAAGAAGAACGAGTTTCTACCAAACCTAGCTTGATTGACGAGCACTAATATACAAGATGTCGAAATGCCATGATCTAAAAATTGGCAGTATGTTTAGATTACATCATATTGATTAGAGGCTGTGATGATAATAAAAGCTTGGGTTAGTCCCAGAATTCCTATCTTTATTTCAGTAAATGGGTGCATTATGAATCAGTTTTAAATTAGTCCCCAGTAGAATAGATGGTTCAAAACTAACCAAGAAAATGTTATACAATCATGTTAACACTTATCATACTTGGTGCTTCACTGACTTCTAAAGGTACACTAAGATTCCAATATGGGAGTGTCTGAATTAATATCTATATAATGGTCAACTTCATCAGGAGTTTGTGAATTTTGTGGACTAAAGTGAAATTATAAGGTGATTTTACGAGCACTCATTAATCAAGCCTAATAGCTAATAGTTACGAAAACTGTGTAACAATGTGGTAAATCTGATTAAACTTGGATCGGTTTCCTTAGCTCATCTAATAACCTCGGGCTAAATCTATACGACAACTCGAACACGAAAGGCGCAAAATATAGGAAGAACGCTGTACTCCAAGGTCCATTTTATGTACAGAAAATTTAGGGTATTCATGGCGTTTCAGATCACCTTGGGCTTTTGGAACCCTACTAAACATAATAACAGGATTAGTAATCATCCAAACAGGAACGTGACACATGACTCTTCACTTCCTAGATGGATCAATAAATACTCTGCAAATTAGTAGTACGCTTTAAATATAGTAACTCCGCGTATTCCCTAATAATCAACCTTGCAATGTCAGAGATTTACAATAACGAACTCATTGTGGACTAGCTTAACAGGTTATTAAAACGATATCTAGTGGGTAAAAGCGTACAAAGCATTAAGAAATGCTTAAAGCCTAATAAATAGGGTTTTAATTGTCACTGAATAACTGTCTAGATATATTACTTAACTGATAATTTTCGAAAAACCAGATAAAAACCATACTATAATTTATTAGTATAAAAAGGAAAATTGACCTGACCTTTAAGAACTATGTGCCAAGCATTCTCCTTAATTCCTGAGTCAACGTTCTGCCACTCACTGTGAAAATAAAAACCTAAAATTTCAAATTCAACTGCTTACTGCAACACGCAGAACAAAGTATCGAACTCGTGTAATATGTAGGTGAAGCCTTCACTTGTGAGAGATCGCTGAGACTCTTAAAAAGAGGAAAAATAATAGAAAATGGAACATTAACTGAGTAAATCAAAGACACTTCTTTCCAAACTGGTCACAACCAGTGATTATTTCCAGTTGTTGGGAAAAAGGTTCTGTTTTTAACGTGAAATCTACTTGATTACTATACATCTCTGACCTCAGCATTTAGCTACTAGAATTTCAACTAAAGATAAAGAATTAATCAAATGGGTTTTAAGTTTTGTTAGTGGTTAGGGAGTTCAAATGATCGAATTTTATTACTCATCATCACCATGCTATCTATAGTTTCCTGTCTGAACATAGCATTACACTCCATCCACTGAGAGGTTTTGTCATAATATTTAACTGCATATTGCTAGAGAAACGAACATAATATATGGTTCGACACAGTAGTGGGGTAGGTACACCTATCACTATCTCTTTTTTAAATATCGAATATCTTATTACTCTAAATATTTTCATGTCAGCTTGCTAGTTATTTTATTTATTATCCATCCTACTGAAATGCATGACAATAAGAACAGATGCACTGTATATTTGTTTTCCATTTGTGCACAACAAAAAATAAATGTTTATGTATAACAGTACAACTAATGTGACTCATTTCCAATACAGTCATTTGGGTAGTTATAATTAGTAGCATTGAGTGCCTTGTTTAGGTTACGAAAAAAGTTGTATTGAAGAAATAACGTGATTACACTTTAAGAAAAAACAAGTTGCACAACGAGTTCTATAGTATCCAGATGTGCTTTACTGGAGAAATACCATGATTTTGAAGTGAACCATGAGTTTCCATCAAAGTTATTGTACTCAAGGTTATGATAACAAATACCAACTTTCTCACATCAGATTCGCTAAGTGAGAGATACAGCCACTTCCATGTGATTACTACGGTCGCTTGAACTCATGGCTACAAGGCTAAACTATAAAAGTTTACGAAGTATCAAAGTATTTCCAGGATGTCCTTTAATTGGTATAGTGAAAAGTTTTGATAATGCAATGAGAAGACGAAGTTTATCAGAGTTATGTTATGTATTTGCGCAATACATTATATATATATAAATTCAGATCCTTCGAAATGTGTTGCGCAAATATATCACATAATTCTGATAAACTTCGTCTTCTCATTGCATTGTCGAAATTTATCAAAGGGATTAACTGTTTGAAATAGTGAAAGTTATTGGATAAAAGGTGTGATAATATAATGTTATGTAATAGACATATAAAACGAAGCTCAAAAGAGTATGAGTTGCATTGGAATTCTCATTACTAAATTCCGGGCTATAGCCCAAGAACATAAATAGCAATAAGAATAAAAACATGAACACTAAGAGATGAAAGTGACATTTCTGACAACCGTTCGAAATAACATCTTTTGCCTGTACAAAACGCGGAAAACATGAGTGAAATCACGGGAATATACCAATTGTTCAAACAATTGTCAACAAACGCTACATAAAATACTTTATCATGTAACCGTAGAGAACGCAGAAAACATAAAATTATATGATTGACAAATAAAAAATATCGGGCTAAATAACATCAACACAATTTATTTTAAGTAACGGGGTAAAATATTAACAAAAATGAAGCCTACTTGGAAGATAATTTCTCAAATTCCTCACGGAAATTACGTCGTTTACGACATAAGCATTGGAAACAGAACGCTTCAGTAAATCTGCTTTTGCGACGGGAATAATAAACTCTGACATTTGTGAGTAGTTCTAGAACAATCAAACGCGAAAATAGATTTAAGCACGTGAATTTTATCCACTGTTAGAAAAAACAAGATTTGCAAGGCTATAATTTACCACAAGAAATTACTGGTTAGTACCAGAGCCCTATACGAAAAGAAAACATTCTGGATTGACAAAATGTTCAAGCAGAGAAAACATAAGCAACAGCGGCGGATAACAGAAGGCAGTCGTTTAAACGTACCAGTATGACTCAGAAAAATCGGTGGGATTTAATCCTTAACTGTGGATTGAGAGACAGTAAACTCGAAAAATTAAAATATGTTCCAAGCTTGGCAGAAAGCAAGTGTATTTGTCCCTTAGTTTTAAAAAGTTCAAGAACATAATTTTATTGATAAACGGTGGCTGTCATAATGGAAAGTACGAGAACGTTTGCTGACATATATCTATACCAGGTCCTTTATTATCATGCTTAGTGAGATGTTAGGAGAACGATTTGATCTCAAGGTCTCTTTAGGTGGCTAAGATCACGAAGAGCTGATTAAAAATCAAAAAACCTATGCCAGATATAATCCGAAACTAAGTTTAGTTACCAGGGCTAAACAACGGAACTATAGTGAGTTTTCAAAACCGTTTACATAGGGGGAGGGGATTTAGAGTTCTGAAGACCTCTGATTTCTTTTAAAACTGAGCGAGTGGGCAGAAATATTCTTTGACGAAATTTGTAATTCGCTTTCTTAATTAGCTACAAACGATACGATAAGTAGAACAATATGCTGATTTTTTTGAAAAGGTCAATACTTTTCGAAGACATTTATTGTAGGCTTCTTTAAATCACTCTATATATATACGAAGCATATAGTGACTGTGTCATGTCACCTTCGCAAGATTGCCGATATATGTCATTTTACAGAAGGTTTGTATATTAATAAAAAATGTAACTTTCCAAGACCTTTTAAGACATCAGACTTCTAGAGAACGCCAGGATAACCTTGAAATCAAAATAGATATGTTTCAATGTCCAAGCGTCGCCAATTTACCAATGAAATGAAAGTATCAAGATCATGCTAATGTCTCTGCAACGAACTTATTTTACAGCATTTTTATCAGGGATGAAGTTTGTGAAACAATTAAATAGCTGTGGCTGACTAGAGGCTTTCTGTTATCGTGCTTATGTATCTAGTTGCAGCGAATCCCTTATGTCATCAAGTTGGGATCTAGGTACATTATAAAGTAAAAGAGAAACTGTCATGAGTTTTCAAGAAAGTACCACTTTTCAATCGGGGGACTCCTGGGTATTTGTATGGACCACCTTATCTGGTAATGAATTCCGGGACGTACTTACTTACTTTCGCCTGTTACGCCGCCGACCAGCATTCTCCAACCCACTCTGTCCTCCGCCTTCCTTTCTAGTTCCATCCAATTCTTGTTCATTTTTCTTCTTTTCATTTGGCCTTGAGGATGTCATGTGAGGGCTTGTCTTGTGACACAGTTGGGTGCTTTCCTCAATGTGTGTCCTATCCACGTCCAGCGCTTCTTCTTGATTTCTTCCTCCGATGGGGTCTGGTTTATTCTCTCGCATAGTAGATTGTTGCTGATAGTGTCCAACCAACGGATTCGAAGTATTTTGCGTGAGTAACTGTTAATAAACACCTGCATTTTCTGGATGATGGCTTTCGTAGTTCTCCAGGTTTCTGCCCCATACAGTAGAACTGTCTTGACATTTGTATTGAAAATCCTGACTTTGGTGTTGGTTGACAGTTGCTTTGAGTTCCAGATGTTCTTCATTTGTAGATATGATGCACTTGCTTTGCCGATCTGCGCCTTCACATCTGCATCAGATCCACCCTGTTCATCAATGATGCTGCCCAAATATATAAAAGTTAAACGGCATACCGTTTACATCAGAACTAGGATTATGTGGGTACTTTAGAGCATGCTTAAGAGTACTTATTATAGTATAAGTGTAAAAAGTCACCCCTGAGTAAAGATCCAACGATCTAAGACTTTATTCAACCAGAAATCACTGCAAACTTCGCTTTCGCACCAGAGATGACGTTGTTTTGAGATAAAAATACCAGTAAATCGTGAATAAAATTGTCGGTATGAATTGTAACGCAAGGAACAAATAGCTGCCACTTAGCTACATACACTACTAAATCAAGTGTCATCAACAGATAAAAATGTCCAAACGGCGTCGATTTGCACTCTTAAGTTCAATTACGACAATATATATATATTCCTCTTATTATAGGCTATTATTCATCTTAATGGTTACTGTTATATGACGTACTATTCTTCAATTATTCTCAATCTATTAGTTACAGTACTTGACTATAACAGCCTCTTTTGTCTTGATGGCTTCAAAGCATACTTAACATGATTGGCTGACATAATTTATCACGGTGCAAGCAATTTTGACTACGGAGAGCAAAGATTTGCTTAACAAAACCCAGAATTATTAATAATTCAGCCTTTTAAATCGATTTTAAAATCAAATTCTACTAGTACAACCAAGTTTTACATAAATAAAAACGGGATTGTAGACAACATTTATACTATTTGTGAGTAACCCGGTCACCATTTCTCGCAATGCGGCAACACCGAAACCAACACATTTACAAATACTCTTCCAATGTTGACGTATAAGCATCCATACGCATTTGATTTTACATCCATCAACATCAATCAGACCATAAGTATCTTGGAAAAGTTCTATGACAGTGGACCCTAATGGCATTCATGTCTCGTTCGCAAAGCACAGTAGTGAAGAATCTCCGCTGTCCTGTTTAAAACTGTGCAGCCTGGCCATGAGCTATGGATCCTATCCCGTTAACTTGATATCTGTGCTATCAGGAACTGCGGGAAAAAGCATCCACAAACAGCTATTACCATTTTTGCTTTCAGCAAGCCTAATAAGCCCTTCTCAACATAGGTTTATGAATAAACGACCATACTCCATTTCCCACCTGGAAAGTCAATCAATAAATGGTAATTCTATACTTCGATTATAGTAAGGCTTTTGCCAGTGTCTCACATAGCGTTTTAAAACTTTCATCATTGGTACGTGTGACTCCTCTAAAAATGCTACAGGTATTCGGATTTTGACGTCTTTACACGTAACACATTTATAGTCTAAGTATACTGACCAAGTTAAGTCAAAAGTTAGGAATCAAGGGGTCCGAAAACATATTTGAAAGGCTACCGATATGTTGAGTGTTTGGTCTAATCTGGCTAACAGCTGTAAGAGATACGTAGCACGGCGTACCCATTCTTGATTTGTTGCGGATGCTTGACCTAAGGGCCTTAGCTAGATGTGTTCAGTAAAACTAATAAGGTCGGTATAAACATCAAAGGTACGTGACTATTTTGTTTCGGGAATTTATTTACCGCTTCGAGCTTTCTTTCTGACTCATATCCTTTCAATAGATCCTAGACGAAACGTTCTCCTTGGGTCTTGTTACACAGCTTATACATGTAACCAGTATGGTCATTCAACGAAATGTGATTGACCTTTTACTATTCATAAGTGACGTGTGCCTACTCTTTCAACACAGTAAATCTTCCCTTTTTGCCGATGATTTATGAGGGTTTACTCGTTCTCGTCTCTTACCAAAGAGAGCCATACTTTGACGGTAATACAAGAAAACAAACAAGTTATGCAAGTGGGCTGTGCTGTGTTCAGGTCACCACAAAGTAAGTACGTCACAGGTCACTGACGGTGCGACTACAGGTGTATTAGCAACAATTCAATGGCCATTGCTTGACGTGTTACAAAATTACAATTATCCAAGCAGCTGTATTCACTACGCATGTAATACGTGCCAGGACGTTTAGAAAGAAACCACTACCCAGACATCGCTTTAGATTATTTTGACCAACCCCAGGGGTCTGTTTGCATCACCAGAATTGTGCAGACCCGCCGCACAAGACCCAAGGGAACGTCACAACCAGACTGTCATGATGGTGACTGTCCCTGCTCACAACAGATAGCTGTCTCACCTATGTCCGGGATACCATTCTGGCACGAAATTTCTCAGACACCCGCGCAGAGGTGAGCATAACCCCACTGACGCTATCCCAACGTAAACACTCCACAGCCAGTAACATACTCCTGGAAGTGGCAGACAAGACTTTTACTTGGCGAATAATTACACTAGGCTTCGGTGCATGCAATTGATTTGCGTAAATTCTCATCAAGCCTCAGGTGAAATAACCTATCTTAGGAGCTGATTTCCCAAGTTTCTACACATTACTTGTTAATATGAACAAATAAAAACTTATTGATGGAAATATATGACTCCAAGCTAGTGGCCTACTTGCTAGCAGTCCAATCCATAGTATTTACCTATTAACGCAGACGAGTAGTCTATGCAATAATATTTTATGATGGTATGACAACATTAAGAGCCCCGATTACCAAGCTGATCAGTAAGTGTACAGTCAGAAAGATTACCTCCCGACAAAATAAGTCTCTAGAACAGAGTACAAACACATGGTGCAGTTGGGTATCATATGACATTCAAGAAACCCACAGGCCTCTCCATTACATATGGTGTCCAAGGAGGATCATGAATAGCATCCGCGCGAGGACTATCGTCGTTCGGATAGTAAGACCACAACAGACAGATACCTGATTCATCACCTACACGGTTTTTCTTTGGCATCACAAGGAAGGAATACTTTTTCTAAGATAAACCACGTGGGAGTATACCACTAAAATTCCGGCGGTACTGGAGAATGTCGAAAAAACCGGCCATTACCACACCTTTAAATCTGTTTGATTTCTTGAAGGTGTCATTTGGACTGAGAAGCGCAGCTCAAACATTTGAAAGATTAATGGGCGTGGTCACAAGAGGACTGGACTTTGTATTTTAAGTAACAGGTAATCCACGGAATAAATGAACTCACGTCATTTTGCTACCATATTTGTTCTTTCGTTATCAAAGTTTACAATTGGAAAACGTTGTATGAAAGACTCATAATACATTTGTTAGATTATGATTGTGATATCTGAGACCGAGGAAAATGGAAAGACACTTATGCCTTCTATAGAATCATTGACCACCACTAGTGAGTCACGCTTCCAAAAAGACGTTGAAAGTGTATGTGGTAAGACATAAATATTATGATTAAGGTGATTATAAATTAGAAGTGTTTGGACCTTTTTTATGAGAAATGATATTTACAAGAGTAGCTAAGTCATCTAAGTTTGATGAGATTTTATTTTGTCGATCAGAAAAATCAGCTTCTAAATCTTGTTTTAATAAATTGATCTCCTTTAGACTGCAATCAATCGCACGATTTGACAAATTGATTAATTTGTTCACCTGCTCCGATGGTATACCAGCGGCTCGTGTGGTTTGGCTAGAACATTCACTTTCAACCTATAAATTGGAAAATATGAAGTCAGGTGAATTAATTAGGACGTAAACATTCTATTTTGCTACAGAATATACTTTTGTAGGGGCTTAATACTTAATAGAGATAACATTTAAGACGTGAATTAACTTACGTAGGCCAACTATGGTTAACTTACAGTCATAATCTAGTTTCTCTGGAACACAACATGTAATCTATTCAGCCGTGAACATCACTGAAATAATGGCATCTCCCAAAGCAAGACAATAAAATTTTGGCACAAATTTTACATCTGACAATCAATAGGTACTTCCCTACGGTTAACTTTGGTGTTACACTCATAGCCGTTCGATTACACGGAAAGAAAGCTGTAAAGACGTAGGTTATTAAATATCGGTAACCTTTGAATATCATGAGCCTGCAAAAACAATTTTGTGCCGGATTTTATGTTATTTGATTGGTTGAAAGAAAGTGTTTGTATATGTTCGCTGAGTTATCATTCATATGGGATTTGTGGAGAATAATTTATAATGTAGGTGGTATTTATCATAGATTGACAAAAGTTAGGGGTGATTGAAAACCAAGGAGTGACTAGGCAGTCATTTCATCCTAGTAAGACATTTTGGACAAAAAATTATGACCGTCATCGCTGCGCCTTATCGAGGATTGGCTAAAGTTGAAAATATGAATTCCAATTCAATTGTCTAAATGTAACGGGATTTCTGCGAGACCCCAGTGCCCAGGGGACGAACTCTGGTTAGGTCTCGGATACCCGACAGCTAGAAGTCTCATATTTGGCAAAACAACAGTCTATTGTCTACCAGATTTTTACGTCATTCCAAATGATGTGGGTGTAAAATCTTGGTGAGGCTATAATTTATGGACGACCTTTGAGCGACGTTAAAGAGACCTTGAGAATGTCCACCTACATACTACGGCTAAATGAGGGTTATAAACCAGCATGATGAATTAGGATTAATATTTACAGTTGATGGTTAGTATTAGGAATCAGATATAGGGTTTTCATTACGAACTGACATCAGCTATAAATCCAAAACTCTATTTAACCGAATGGATGAGTGAATTTCGCGCCAAACTTCAAGACCTGTTATCATAAAACTGATTGGTTCGTCAATAAATTATAGCCTCGCCAAAATCTTTATTTCGACTGTTAAATATAATTATTTTAAATGACACTATTATATAGAAAAACGTTTTCTCTAGTCGTATAAAAAATAAGAACTAGAATTATTTTACGTATCGTCCTAACAAACAGAATTACTAAGTCCTAAGAACATTATTTTCAACATATATACAAAATAACGAAAGAAACCTTTCTTCTTCAATATACACAAAATATTGCCTTCCGCTCATTTTGCATGAAACGATTATATACTGAATGCATACAATACCATGAAGAGGTTATTAAACCATACATTACAGTTTTCATATTTATATGGGTGAACAAACAAGAAAGTTAAGACTGAAAATTATTTTCAATCACCAATCAATATGTTTGTGTTTTTTAGGGTGTATTCATGAAAAGTGGTATTTTAATGTTGTCCAAACTGTAATATTTCATTTGATCTATTAACCATTGATATATCTTTTACAATTCATGAAATACAGTTAATTAATTAATTTTCAATACAAATGTCAAGACATTTCTACTGTATATGGCGGAAACTTGGAGAACTACGAAAGCCATCACATCCAAAAGATACAAATGTTCCTTAACAGCTGTCTACGCAAAATACTTAGGATTTGTTGGCCAGAAACTATCAGCAACAACCTACTATGCGAGAGAACAAACCGGATCCCAGTGGAGGAAGAAATCAGGAAGAAGCAGTGGAAGTGGATAGGACACACATTGAGGAAAGCACCCAACTGTGTCACAAGGCAAGTTCTCACTTGAAATTCCCAAGGCCAAAGGAAAAGAAGAAGACCAAAGAACACATTACGGCGAGAAATGGAGACAGACGTGAGAAAAATGAACAAAGATAAGATAGAACTGGAAAGGAAGGGCCAGAACAAAGTGGGTTGGAGAATGCTGGTCGGCGGCCTATGCTCCATTGGGAGTAACAGGCGTAAATAAGTAAAGTAAGTAATTGTGTACATGTTACACAGTTCTATATCACAAATGACAATTTAACACGAATTGTAATTCAAATAACGAAAAAGGTCAATTGTATCTGTGAAGAAGAAGGAAGTAGATAAATACGTCACCTTACCACTTTTTCGCTAGCCGATTATTACTTAAATTCTTTCCAATATATGATTTTCAATTAGCGTCTTTCTATCTTACTATAGAACACTATTTAAGTAAATAGAAAAAACAACTATAAATACTATTGTAAAGTTTCAGTAAATAAAATCGTCAGAAAGAAAGTCTTCTTTATTGAATTGCCTTCTTTTACACATTGCAATTTCTTAGTATTGATGAGTTGTGGTCTTTCACTTGATTTACATAAGGATCATGTGAATTTTCAAGTTTGAATAACATAAGTTATTTGACTAAATTTTTTGTGACCTGATTGAGAGTCAGGAAACCGAAGAAGTTTTGCGCAGGCCAATAATCAACACTAGAACATATCGCGTAGTTATGCTGTAGTAATTGATGCAATTAGCGTCAGCAGGGAATAGAACAAACGAATGTAACTGAAGAGATTTCTTGAATAACAAATGGAGCATATTGGGAAGAACCGTATGAACTTTATGAATCCATATCGAAAGAGATTGCCAATGAAATTATCAGTGGGTTAGATATGTGTTCAACCAATTCATTCATTAAAGTTAGACTTATAAATGTAATAACTGAAAATGAGGATATATATATATATATAATATATATATATATATATATATATTATATATATATATATATATATATATATATATAACTTTTAAGAATTACATAAAAAACAATGTAGTAGGATGTTTTTTAAATAAACAGTATCTCCAAAATATATCATTGAGATATAAATAAAATACTTACCTTTGGATCTAATTTAGTTCGAAGATATTGAGGTACAGTATCATGATTGAATAGTGAAAGACGTTCTTCGGTAATTTTAGCTAAATTACTATCTTGTTCCGGATTTAACAACATTGGTGTAAGCACCAGGGTATGTTCATTTGAAAATCGATCGGATTCAAGTATTTTCCGAATTTCACTTAGTTCTGATGCACATAACGCTAGTGTACTAAGATATCTTGGCCAGTCACATTGGTCACCCTAAATTATCAGAGAAAACAAAGGAGATATAGAACATTAAAACGATACTAACATAGTCCCTAAAAGCATATTAAGCAATGGTTATATATATATATATATATATATATATATATATATATATATATATATATATATTATCACCCCTAAACACCTTTAAAATCAACCCACGACTATCGATTGCCTTCTCACACTAAGTAATTGAAGAACTTTGATCGATTTTCCATCCAAGTTGCTTTGTAGAGTTTGCATCAGAACCCATTAGTTTAAAAACGAAGGCTTAATTTAACACTACTGGGTCATAAGAGTGAACTATGATAGGGCATTTGAGATATCGACCTTGGTTTTTAGCCAAAACATCAGGACTAAGCGGGATACACAGGCATGTGTAGTTGATGGGCTACAAGTAGAACAACATGAATTTCATGAATTCGATTCCTAACTAATACTAAACTATATCAAAAGTGAGGATTATAACTAGTGAAATTGACATGAAATATTTAAACCCGGTAATTTAAATGTAGGACAAATCATTTTATACATTTAAAACGTACTTGAGTTTCCGCTTTGATGACTAAATCCTGAATTTTTTGTTTGAGTTTATGAATCGCAGTATACAAAGTGTTAACATTTTCTAATTGACGTTTTTCAGCAATTTGCATTGGTAAGCAATTCAAATGTCAATCAATTTTTTCCTGTTGTCTGAAAACGTAACTGAGATAAAAGTGATTCCAAGCAGTCAAGATTGCTTTAATATTTGTACTTTCTGAAAAACAACACGCAAGTAAATTAAATTAGTGGAATTTAAGAGAAATGATGTAGTGTCAAAATACATACCTTATGTGATTCAAAAGTGGTGTTCAATCACTGGATGTGAAACAAAGAAAAGTAAGATCAAGACTACAACGGATATTAAGCCCATGTAGTTGTACCGTGTCATTAATGAGTATCCAAATAAGCCAATTGGCCTCACCAACCTTTATGGCTGGAAGGGGCACCTCTGTGGATAGCCAGCTTAGTAGTTATAGTACTTGACATTCAATTATTGAGGTCCAAGTCCGAATTTCGTTAAACCTACTTTAGTTTAGGCAGTCAGATAGTACTGTCAGCCCACTCTAAAAATATAAAAGAAAGCCGAACCTGGCACTTGGTAATAAACGACTTCTAATCAACTACACTAACACATCTAAAACGTTTAGGGAGATTGATAGTAGAGAAATTGTAGCCGAAAACAAGACGCATATATTGAAAAGAAACTGAATAATTGTGATTATTTGATGTAATTATATACGTTTATAAACTGTACTTGAACTGAAAAATCAAGAGTACATTGTATGAATGAACGTACTAATCAATAACAAATAATTAAGACTATCACATATCTATATAAATCCATGAGCCATAAATATTCTGGATGTTAACATTCCACATGAAGCAATACAGAATAGCTAGATATAGTGAGAAACCACAATGTCTTAAACTATGATAGAATGACAGTTAAATCATGAAGTAAGAGAACACACGATTGCGTGACATTAGAAAGAGGGGATAGAAATATTTACTCAATTTGTGAGTGATAAAATACTTAATACAAAAGAGAAACAAGAAATTTGCCATGTATAATGAAATAGTAATAAGTTAAAAGTTTAAATTAGAACACAATCAAGAATGATTTCATTCCTTCTTATGTGTTCTACATTTTATAAGAAATATAACAAAAAAAACTAAAAATATATTGAAGCCCTCAACTGTTTCAGAAGAAAAAGCACAAATAAGCTTATTTCAGATATGTAGAGGTACTTTACAATTTTATAGTGTGAAGTACATCTCATGATTGCTACATACCGATTATTAACTAATTAGGTAGACAATATGTCATTGTACAGTAAAAAAATATATATAATCTGCATGCTCGAATCTATGTAGATAACATATATAAACCACCACGTAACTCATTTAGAACTGTTTCTGAGTTGTTAACAAATGGGAGTGTTAGGGAGGAATGATGAGTGTTCAACTGGTCTATCCACACCCTTGATTTGGGAAAATAAACGAAGGAAACGTGGAATTCCTTAAGTGCATCAACAAAATCTTTTATAATCTAAGGGCAAATTTATGAAACAATATTGAGGTGAAAATACGAGTATAATGATATGGCTATTATATTTTGAATTAAAGGTCAAACATATATCTATATCAGAAACGGTAAACCAACATTGGTTTTCATATTAGATCTGAAACGTATATTCCTATGTTCATTTATTTACATACAAACATTAGTGCAAAGGCCCACCAATATATATATATATATATATATATATATATATATATATATATATATATATATATATATATATATATACGCCATATAAATCATCGGTACAGTTGAAACGTTGGAAGTTCTGAGTTAGAGTGGTCGACACATCTGTTCCTAAATGTCATCAGTATGCAAGCCAGTTACTACTTACTTAGTTACGCCTGTTACTCCTCGTGAAGGAGCATAGGCCGCTCACCAGCATTCTCCATCCAACCCTGTCCTGGGCAACCCTTTCTAGCTCCTTCCAGTTGTTATGCATCTTTTTCATATCTGCTTCTATTATCCGAAGTAATGTGTTCTTAGGCCTTCCTCTTTCCCGCTTCCCTTCAGGATTCCACGTTAGGGCTTGTCTCGTGATGCAGTTTGACGATTTGCGTAATGTATGTTCTATCCATTTCCATCGTCTTTTCCTAATTTCTTCTTCAGCTGGAAGTTGGTTTGTTCTCTCCCACAGAAGGCTATTGCTGATGGTATCCGGTCAATGGATGTTGAGTATCTTGCGAAGGCAGCTATTTATAAATACTTGTACCTTCTTGATGGTGGTTGTTGTAGTTCTCCAAGTTTCAGCTCTATACAGTAGAACTGCCTTGACGCTGGTATTGAAGATTCTCACTTTGATATTGGTTGAAAGTTGTTTTGAGTTCCATATATTCTTCAATTGTAGGAATGTGGCCCTTTTTTGCCAATCCTCGCCTTTACGTCTGCATCTGAACCTCCTTGTTCATCTACAGTGCTTCCCAGGTATGTGAAGAATTCTACATCTTCCAGAGTTTCGCCATCAGGAGTGATTGGACTGCTGTTCTCCGTGTTGTATTTGAGGACATTGGTTTTCCCCTTGTGTATGTTGAGGCCTCAGTCAGTCAGTAACAAAGTAGAACTTCGTACGTACGTACATCAGTTCGAGTTGCCACACCACAGCACAGAGATGCAGTGGTCGATTCAAATCCCGTAGTGCTAGATGTAGTAAAATTATAAGCTGTAATCAGAAAAACTAGGGTTTGTTATTCAAGGAGTATAATCCAGTGAAATAAATTTGGAAAGAGAAAAAAGAAAGGGACATGAAGAGTTCAGAAGATTAGAATTTGGGAGAACACAAAGAGTGGATTCACCTGCGCCATTGCAAACGATTTTGAGCCACGCCATTCAGGGTCTCTAACCATCGGTTGCTATCGTCTCGCGGTCCCCAACCAGGTAGTCTACACCTATCAATATGACTCAGTCTACTTGTCAGTGACTTCATGGACTTGTGCCATGTTTTGGTCTGGCCGCCCCTAGCTTTCTTCCAATCTACTCCTATACAACAAAACATCGCACATCGAAGCACTTGGTGGTTGGGCATACGTAACACATGTCTCAGCCATCTCAACTGATGAAGTTTCGCTACGTCATCAATTGGTTTGCCATTCTTACCTAGTACCCGTTTCCTAACAACTGCATTACTTACTCGATGGTCCCACGATATACGAGCAATATTTCGAAGACACCTATGATCGAATACTAGTAACCTACGAATATCCTCTACTCTTACCGGCCATGTTTCACTGCCATAAAGTAGGACGGAACGAACTGCTGCGCAGTAAACACGTCCTTTGGTTGATAGACGGATATCTCGCCTACGCCATAAATGACGCAAGTTGGCAAAAGCTAGTCGAGCCTTCTGTATCCGTGCTGAGATTTCGTCACACACCAGACCACAAGGGCTGATGAGACTTCCAATATAAGTGAAGCAGTCGACACGCTCAACTACTTCACTCATATTATTAGTTCGGGTGTCGATGCAACCCAATCCTGAAACAACATTTTGCATTTAGAGGGGGAGAATCGCATCCCAAACATACCTGCATTGTTGCATAGAGTGGTCAGAAGACTCTGCACTTTGTCAGCGTCTTCACCAAATAAAACTATGTCATCAGCATATTCTAAGTCAACAAGTGAACCTCCCAGTAGAAGTTCAACCCCTGGAAATCTAGACGAGGAAAGTGTTATCTCTAAAAGTACGTCGACGACAAAGTTGAACAAGAATGGAGAGAGTGGACAGCCCTGACGAACACCACTTCAGGTAATCAATTCTGATCACAGTTCGCCATAAGCTCTCACTTTACCAGTTGTGTTCGAGTAGAGAGCCTTTATAAGGTTAATGTACTTCTTTGGTACTCCTTTCAGTGACAATCACTGCCATAGAACCCCTAAGATAACCACCTGCTTCGGTTTGGGCACCCGGGCAGTATCACAGCCCACACACAAATTGATGAACTCTTTATGCCTATGGAAATTACCTTTCTCGCTTTGAAAAACAAACAATTGATTCAGATTATTATCATTACAATTATTGTCATTATTAATACTATTATTATTATTACTATTATTATTATTATTATTATTATTATTATTTTCCACATTATTCACCCTCTTTTATACTTATACAGCGGCTCGTCTTTGGTGGAAATCCGACTGTATCTAAACGTTCTCGAGTCACTGTCCGGTTGAAAATTGTATGTTACCACCGAATACGAGGACTGAAGCAGATTTTCTGAAACCACGTGCACCATTCAAACTGGCTGCCTTCAACGTTCGCACATTTATGCAGGTCGGACAACAGATAGGGCTGGCTATGTCTTTGGAAAGTCTTAATATCGATGTGTGTTGTCTATCCGAGACCCGTATTCAAGACTCTGGCGAAGTACTACAAATTCGATCTCCATCTGTCGCTTCGAAAAGCTTGTTTTACGTGCGCTTATCCGGGGACCCTGTGGCATCTTCGTCTGGTCTTGCTGGCGTTGGTGTCGCACTAAGCGCTAGAGCTGAGGCAGCACTAGTCGATTGGATCCCCATTAACAGTCGGTTATGTGCTGTTAGATTAGAAAGTTCCATCAAAGTGAGAAGAAATCGGCGTGAGAAACGATGTCTTTTCGTCATCTCCGCCTATGCCCCGACAGATTGCAGCCCGGATGCAATCAAGGATGAGTTTTACCACCAGTTATCAGTTCTTCTCCAGAAAGTGCGTTCGACAGATATTGTAGTACTAGCCGGAGACTTGAATGCTCAGGTCGGGCGTCTAGGCACAGAAGAGAGTCGTTTAGGTGGCCGATGGGGACTCGTTGGTCGCAGGTCAGATAACGGGGACCGTCTACTGCAACTTTGCACAGACCACAACCTGTTTCTGGCTAGCACTAACTTTCGGCACAGTCATCGCCGATGTGCCACCTGGCGTCCTCCCTCTGCATCTCAAGCCTGGACTCAGATTGATCACATCGCGATCAGCTACCGCTGGCGTGGTTGTGTACAAGACTGCCGCTCCTTTTGGAGTACCTATCTGGACTCTGACCATGCCTTGGTCTGCGCCAATCTTGCCTTACTTTTCAGTGGACAACGAAGTGACCCCATCAACGGATTGATGTTAGCAAGCTGGTTGCAACTTCTGTTGCAAGTAAGTATCGAACCGAGCTAGCCTCTAGGCTAGCTACCACTCCACCGAAAAGTATAGATGAGCATTGGTTGCAATTGCATGACGCCATGAAAATGGCGGGAACAGTCAGTTGTGGGTTTGCGAAACGTCCCGCTTTTAAGCACTGGGTTTCTTCTGGTTCCTTACAACTCATTGAAGCCCGTCGGTCTACTCCGGGTGACCGTGAGTTTGACCATAAACGAAGGATGTTACGTAAGGAAATTGGGCAAAGCTTGCGTAAGGACCGAGAAGCCTGGTGGTCGATGCGTGCTAATGAGCTGGAAGCAGCAGCTGCATCTGGTAACTACCGGAAGCTCTTCCAGCTCATCCGAGCCACTGGCAGCAAGAAGTCTGGTGTGAGTGAAACAATCTGCGAGGATGATGGGATGCCAATCACTAACATCCATCGACGTCTTGGACGATGGGCAGAATTTTTCGAAGGGCAGTTCAACTGGCCTGCTGCTCCGGCAACATCGGTCAGACTGTCCTGCCCTCCATGGCCGGTGACGACTGATCCACCAAATGAGGAGGAAGTCCGCAAGGAACTCCAACTCTTGAAGCGTTACAAATCACCTGGCCCAGATGACTTACCTCCGGCTCTTTTTAAAGATGGTGGTGACTTTTTGACTAAGGAATTGACGACGTTGTTTACAAAGGTTTGGGAACTAGAGTGTGTACCAACGTCATGGAATGAGTCGATAGTTGTCCCTATCTTTAAAAAGGGTTCACGTCGTTCTGTAACAACTATCGGGGGATAAGTTTACTTCCGATTGCGTCCAAGCTATTGGCTTCCGTCATTCTTCGTAGGTTGTTCAAAACCCGAGAAAGATTGACTCGCGAGGAGCAGGCTGGGTTTCGTTCTGGTCGAGGATGTATTGATCATATCTTCACCCTCCGCCAAATGTTAGAACACCGCCATACTTTCAAAGGCCAACAATCGTAGTGTTTCTTGACATCAGGGCTGCCTTCGATTCGTTGGACAGGACTGTTCTCTGGGATTGTCTATTGAAGAAGGGTGTGCCTGAGAAGTTTATTAACATCCTAAAAGCCCTATATAAAAACACCTCAGGCAGAGTGAGGGCATACAACCACCTCTCTCCATTGTTCCATTCGAGCAGTGGGGTTAGGCAGGGTTGCCCAATCTCACCATTCCTCTTCAACTTTGCCATCGATGACATTCTGGAAACAGCTCTGATGAATGTAAGTAATGGTGGTGTGGATCTGTTGCCTGGAGAAAGACTTCTCGACCTTGAGTATGCGGACGATATTGT